AAAATATCGATTCTGTCTCTTGCCTTCATTTCTATTATACTTCTTCGCTTCGAAAAAAGTGTTTTATTGCATAATAACTATCAGCCAAGTAATTTATTTGTGGAAAAAATAATTTCATTCATAGTATAATTCAAACCGTATTTGCCCGTTTCTGATACGTATTGCTCTATTTTTTGTTCATCCATTCTTATTCTTAACACAGACCTTTTATATTTATTCGCGAACTGTTTAAATTCGCATTTCATATCTTGCAAGTTTAAAAGGAAGCGATAAGGTATGGGTCAATAACCTGGAATAAAAGTTCGCAGTGTGGAATCTTTAAAAGATAATTTTCTATTTACATAAGGTAACAACAATTAGTGCATGAATTTGTTTTATCGCACCAAAAATAATTTATAGTTCTCAAGTTTCTCAAGCACATCAGTATAATTTACACTAGCTTTCCAAATATGTGAAATATAAGTATTTGTTCGGTCTTAAGTGAAACACATTAATTTTGTGTATCGGTTCTATTAGTGCAAAATTTGTATCGTAAACACATGCAAGAAGCACAGTAGATTAATACATGATTTTTACTGTGCAAGAAGTCTCTGCCTATATTTATTAACATTAACACGCTTTTATTAGCTTCACCTATCCCATATGTATGCATGTTTGTAACTCTCTCCTTGCTTGATCTATTCGCGGGCAGATGGCGCTGTACATAACTTCCTTGATATAATATCGACATTATTGTTTGATTTATTCGCGGTCAGCTGGCGCTGTACATAACCTCCTTGATATAGTGTTAGTGGCTCTTCAGTTCCTCAGCAGCCCCCTACGACTAATGAGGATGAGATTTGGACTGCTGAACCAGAAACCTTTGTTGATAAAATTCGAACTCACTTTACATTCATTTCTTCATTTGAAAAAAGTATTTTTTTATTAACACGTTCGCCTGCCGCCTTATTTGTAACCCTCCTTTGCGCGCCTGCTGCCTTGAGCTTGGTAGCTGATTTTCAGGCTTCCTCTCCGGAATCGGAAAATATCAATGATCATTTTTGTAAACAATATACGGCTGATTGATCCCAAAGTTTAGATTCGTGTTTTTTAGTTTTTTAAACCATATTTATTTACTTTTCGGGTCGTGATGGGGAGACAAGTGCACACTACCGATATCACGGCAGCGCCGGGGCCAAGCGCCGCACATTAGAACTCGTATAAATTACATCACAACGGCCCAAAATTGGAATAAATATATACAGTATAAAAAGTCAATATTTTAATCGATCAGGTTCTCTCCTGCTACGTACCGGAAGAATATATGAAGTGCTTGGTGATGGCCGTGGTGCTATGTTTATTCTGATCATATTGTTATCAACATTCTCAGCATTTATATTATCACCATTAGCAACGACTTCATTTTCATAGGTCTTATCAACATCACCTTGATCAGTATAGCATTTGATTTTATCCTCAAAATCCGTATTGCAATCTGTTTTAGAAATCACTGTCTTAATATGATTGTTGTGTCTTTTCCAAATAATATTTGAATCTAACGGTTTGACAAGATATACATTCTTACCTAAAATTCGTGTTATTTTTGCTTCACACCAAGAGCTTTTCACATTACGATAGTCTTGGGCTAGAACAATGTCTCAAACAAAAAACCTAACTTTTCTTCCCTCCTTATAATATTTTCTATTCATCTCCTGAGCTTTACTTAAGTTACATTTGATCTGGTCAAAATCTATTGATTCTTGTTGAGAATTTTGTAAGCTTTCAGTATTTTTATGTAGAATATCAGTTTTATGTATGAATGATTGAAATAAGCTCCATAATCAATTATTATTCGATATTATTTTTCCCCAATTCATACAACTGTGAATTTGCAGGGGTAACTGTTAATTTGTCATCTTACTGTTGAACTATGAATTTATACATAACTCTAAATTCACAGTTGTAACTGTGAATTCGCACTTGCAAGTGTGAATTACGAAAATGTCATTGATTTTATTGTCGACATAAAATTTGGAAACATTCATCTCTTTATCTTCCTTTCATTGTGTTTACCTTTCACCGTTTATTGACATCAACTATTTACTATCATTATGAAAAACAAGCTTGAATTCTTTGTACTGATTTGCATATAATATGGGCAAAGTAGACCAGTAGACGTCAGAATCATAAAATATGCGTCTCTTTCTACGTTTCACATTATTCAAATTAACTCAATAATTGTTGAACGCAAATTATTGTGGTAACGTAGAATTTGCATATTGTTTTTTAGTTTTATACTGTTTCTTGTATGAACTAGAACAGAGGTCTGTTGCAATAGGAAATAATAAATACATTACTCAATTCTCAATCAATAATTGTTTTTATTATGGAATTACATTAGTTCATACTGAAGTCACTTACATGGGTTCATTTATTTATAAATATTGTTATCCCTATCGATTTTCTGTAAGTGGTTATGTAATATCTAAAAAAGAAAACTTAGGTAATCAGTTATATTTCTACAGTGCATGAATACTTTATTTTGAAGTGAAATTGACAAATGAAACTTCCAAGATGGCTACTGGGCGCCATCTTGTTATACATAAGCTCCTGACGAATATTTCATAACCCTAGAATATGAAGTCAATATCTTCACCTATTACAAAATGGCGGAATATTTAATGATTTCCTGAAGACAAACTCTTACACCCTCTGAAAGTAATCTTACTAGATTTATATTTGACAATGCGCATTCATCTTACTTTTTCAATCATATAGCTAAAACACGTATTGGTTATTTCGTTGGATGGACAGGACCGTACTTGCCCAATATTTTCTTGTCCAATCACAAAGGATGTACTGCATAATAAAGTTTTCTTGCTCAGATTAAAAAAGTTTTATCGATTGAAAGAGGTATATTTTTGAGAGAGAAGAACAGTTTTGGCTATCTATTTTTCTATCTTTATAAGAAAAAAATGTGGAATCTTCTAAAGAAAGGAATAATACAATTGATTTTGAAATGAACTCTCGACAAAGATGTATGCAAGGAAGTAATTTTCAGACCCAAACTGGAAGAAAAAGCTCTTTAGAAACAACTTCTTTCATATGAACATTGACTTATACAAAAAACACATTCTCCTATTCAGTTTGTACTCCAAACATTCGTTATGGAATTGATTCAGATATCATTCACAGGATTGCTATACAATATCATATATGAAAGAGGTAAAATTTAAAATTTCACTTACATGGAACACTGTCATCCTTACTGGGGGACATCTAATGTTTCGGAATGAGAAGTTGCCTTATTGCTTCTATCCATGATATCTCCTTAGCTAACACCGTAGCTTTTTCGGTAAAAATTCCTCTTCAGCACCAATCTAGATAACATCTTGTAATATTATCCAGATGGAGAAGTAGAAAGCCAAAACACCTTTCTTTCCCAAAAAGTATTATCAAGTCCTGTCCAACTAATTTTACTTTATTGAAATTGATTGGAAAGTTTTGAATTCATTAAAAACAAGTCCTTAGTTCTATTTTTGTCTAGGAAGGTGCAAAAATCTAACATTGTTTCAGTTCTAATTCGAGGCTGTTTTTAATATTTGTGAAAAGAGGGTTTATAGAAATATTTCAAATCAAAATCTTCTAATATGAAAAACATTGATGATAAGGCATACTATGATCCCGAAACAGCATTGATATAGAATTTCTTGAGGAAATTTCACGTTCGAAACAGTGTGAATGGTTTCCATTGGTAGAATTATTCTTTTCACATAAACTGTCGCCCAAAATTTTTATTTTCCGCACTTTATGTTTTCCCTTGTATGCCAGTACGACATAAGAATATTAGCAATGCATCATTTGTCAGTTAAACTTGGAAATAAATTTTTGCACAATTGGCTTTTGACATTGAGAATATTTTAAATACCAATACTCGTTTGTGAATCTACTACTTTAAATTCTTTATTCATCATTCGAAAACTATTTTTGTTCAAGGGCAGCTTTTTTATTATAGACGTCGCGAATTTGCTGCAGATCGTTCAGTTTCATTTAGACGAAGATACTTTTTAATGTAGGTACATGGTGTTTATGTGAAAACAAAAACATTAAATCTGGTAATTATAATGTTTCGAGAAATTTGTATACCTTTAACAGTATCATAATTAGGGAGTATCATGTTCCATTCATCGTAAATCTTGTTGGAAAAAAACTATAATATTTCAGATGAAAATTGTTACGATTATTTTGGCCATTTACCTCCACAAAAGTCAATGTACCATCAACATTCCATACACAACGAAAAATATATATATTCATAGTTCGTTTGCAAATCTTCCTTATTTACACATTAATCATTTTCTAAGTATTCTTTCATTTTGAAAGGAGAGTGTTCTTTCTTCGTCTTGTACGGCTTATTAAAAACTTGATGTGTTTTTTAAAAGATGAGTACGTTTTCTCTTCAGTCGACATTTTTTATTTTTTAAATATCTTTGGTCATGTTAGATATTTTTTTCTTTTTTTAGAAGAATGAGTTTCAGCTTTGCAGTAGACAATCAGTGTACTGCTGCAAGTCAGATTATTTTCTATTTACCTATCTTTTTTTTCTAATAAAAAACTTTTAATAACTCATAGATACAAATCATGAAATTATAAAACAACAACAAAAACTAATTGCCGCTCCGGGGCGACTTCATTGATTCCAGGGGCGCATTTGCCTTTTCAGCTGCAGGAAAACTCGGACAAACCTGCAGCACCACATCATCTGAAGATCTTGATCTGCCAATATCTTCTGTGCATTATCCACACATCTTCGCAAATAGATTTATTTGTAGTTATTTTGCCTCTTCCTTTCTTTGGAAGGTTCTCACATATTTTATTTAACGATGCAGAAGTAGAAAGACAAAAAACTTACCATTCTCAAAAAACTAATCTTTCCTTGAAATATTTCATTTTAAAATCAGTAGACAGAAATATTATTATTCCTTAGACAAATTTTCTAATTCGACACTTTTTTTTTTCAGGAAAATACGTTATGGCAATCATATCGAGTTACTTCGCAGATTTGCTTAGAAGATCTGGAAAACTTCCCAAAAATATTTATTATTTATTTGGAGGTCGAAACTTTTATCTTGAATGATGTTTTCAATATTTCCTATTTCTATTTTATATACCTACATTTCGCAAAGTAAATTATTTTCAAAAAACTTGTTTTCTTGTTCATTTCAAGTTTTGGATGGGGTGGAGAAATTGAAATGATAAGATGCCTACCGCATTAAAATAATCCATCTCCACCACAAAACTCAAGAGAATTTCCACCCAAACAAATTTTACCAATTTTGTCCTTTAAAAATGATATTTGGTCTACATCAAAACTGGAACAAACGATAGATTTCAATTGGACAATGAATTAATTCAGGGTAGATTATGTCAAACGATCAAATATCAAAATGTTTCTTCATTTTATAAAAAACTGAGAGTGTTTAGACAAAATTATCCAAAAAGGCCAAGAGAAGTATCGCAGATTCCATTTCTACTCGGGGCAATGAAGACTGCTGCAAAAGGAGTATATGAAATAACTGATACATTCATTATTTCGTAGGTAAACAATATATAGGGTCTTCCAACAGAGATTTCTGAACTTTGACAATTGATAACGGCCAACTTGTTGAAGCTACATCTGTCAAATTAGTTGTAATTTATTCAGTCTGTTTTGTCAAATCGCCATGGACGGATATAACATTCAACAACACGTGGCAACTTCGCCCATTTTATGATCGCTATAATCGTGCTACCGAGAGGACCATTCACAATGTGATGGGTAAATTTAAAACCACTGGTTGAGTAAACGATCGACCAACACCCATATGCCGACGAAACGCAAGATATGTCGAATAAATCGCCGCTGTCTGTGAGAGTGTGCAGGAGAATACCAGGCAGTCGATTTCGCGTGACTCGCAAGAACTCAGCTTTTCGCAGGCCACAAATTTGCCCATTTTGCATCGTGACTTGGACATGCACCTGTACAAAATAAGCTGACCCAGGAAATGAAGGTAAACGACCATAGACAACGATGTGTTCTGGACGTGCCACATTGGATATTCTGCACGAAAGACTTGAGGGCATGGTCGTCTCACATGGAGGTGATGTGAACTGGCCACCGAGATCGTGCGATTTGACTCCGTTAGACTTTTTCTTGTGGGGTTTTCTTAAGTCGCAGCTGTATGCAAATAAGCCAAAAACCACAGCGGTCCTCAAAGCCAACATAATCCGTTTCATCGGTGAAATTCAGCCTGATTTATGTGCCAGAGTCATGAAAAATTGACTTTTTGGATGCGCTCGACTCAGAGAAACCGTGGGGGACATTTGAACGATGTTATATTCCACACTTAATGGCTTCAATAAGTCTTTCAAACGAATTTTCGCAGGCCACAAATTTGCCCATTTTGCATCGTGACTTGGACATGCACCTGTACAAAATAAGCTGACCCAGGAAATGAAGGTAAACGACCATAGGCAACGATGTGTTCTGGACGTGCCACATTGGATATTCTGCACGAAAGACTTGAGGGCATGGTCATCTCACATGGAGGTGATGTGAACTGGCCACAGAGATCGTGCGATTTGACCCCGTTAGACTTTTTCTCGTGGGGTTTTCTCAAGTCGCAGTTGTATGCAAATAATCCAAAAACCACAGCGGTCCTCAAAACCAACATAATCCGTTCCATCGGTGAAATTCAGCCTGATTTATGTGCCAGAGTCATGAAAAATTGACTTTTTGGATGCGCTCGACTCAGAGAAACCGTGGGGGACATTCAAACGATGTTATATTCCACACTTAATGGCTTCAATAAGTCTTTCAAACGAATAAAAAACGTCGATGATATACACTTTGTTTTATTTAAATTTAAAAATACGAAGCGCTTAGTGAAAGACCCTATATATTGAAATTTCCCGAAACTGATCGATTTTTTAATTTTGTTCACTGATTTTTCAAATATCAATCAAATATGCAAAGAGATCTACCTCCGAGTGATAACGGCATCACCGTTATTGGAACATCCTCAGTTGGTACAGAGTGGACAATAATACCAAAATTACAAGTTATTAACAAAATACTAAACGTAGAATGAACCTAATGTTGAAAGGAAATGAAACTATTGCTATTACAACTAATTCAATAAACCACCATATATTATTTTCATGAAAGATCTCAGCCTCTCGACTATACCACGTAATATTTGAAGATATTTTTGCTATTTGTTTTTCATTTTTCCTACAAATCTGTCGAGAATAGGAAAGTTTAATTCTTCTTTATGATACTTGTACAAATCTTGTGTTTGTAAGAGAAAGGTTTGTGTTGGTGATATGAAGGTATGCAGATTATTCCATGTAATGTAACCAGATCATGACCCTACCCATAATATACTGTTAGAAAAAAAATAGCTGAATATATTAAAATCGATATGTAATTTTGATGGTAGTTGAAAGTGTATATTTTCTAGAGAATCAATTCAGTATGAACATTTTTAAAAAGATAATGAAGTGGCTGAAGACAAACTTGAGAGAATGAACCAAATTATCTAAGTATATGATTGATTCTAATAATAGAAATAACAATACCATATCTGCTATATTTTCATCAAGGCACATTATTTGGCAAAACCCGCACATTATTCGTCTGATGAAAATTCACACTATGGATGCAAGAATACAGTACAAAATAATCACAAAAGATCAATCTAGATGTGCCGAAATTGTGCGAGATACAATAATTGGTGCATATTTTTCAATGAAAATTTTACAAAAATATCCTATGTACCCGTCTGAATTTCTAACAAAACATGAGGTCATAGTAAAAACCAACCAGTAAGTCCACGACCTCGAAACAAAGTGCGGAACCAATTTTGTTCTTTTACCATAGGTGTGTGCTCATATAAAAATGAAATTTAAGGATATTATAGAAGATTTTGTGGTAAGTTACTTATAACCAACTACAAAAACTAAAGACAATAATAGCTCCAGCAAATAAACTAAACACAATATCAATTTTGGACCGTTTTTTATAACTAATCCGATGCCCGTGGTACCGTCGAATCCTTCGATACTACAGCACTGAACGCGTTGTATGAGAATTTCATCTTAAGAGCGGTTGAAGGTCCCCGGCAACTCGGGCGGATCACGTGGTAAGAGAGCCTACTGGTTGTATTATTCTACTGTGATGAGGTATTGTATCTGTATTCTTACAATTGTTTTTAACAAAGTTTTCACAAACATTTTTGTTTCTAGACGTCTATAAGATTTTATCAATATATGTTAGGTAAGTGGTTAGAATCCTATTCTATAGAAGAAATAATAAACGTTTCTTCAACTGTATAAAATTTTTAGAGTACGAATAATCCCATACGAATATACTCTCAGGCTACAAAATCTTCTCGATGTGATATTCTCAAAAAATAATTCTGTCTGTCTGTTCTTCCTCAAATAAAATATTTTGTCAAAAACTATCGACATTGATAAAGAAATAATGAAGAGATCCAATAAATTTCGTTCACAGAAGTGCTGAGTACACTTTTAGTGACACAACTTGACAATGTTGAGTTGGTACTTCAATTTTCAATGTTGTTTACATATGGGAATAAATGGATAGAACATGAAATGTTTCTCTGAACAAAAACGCGCGCCCGATTCGTATTTTTACATCTAATATCAACATCCGTTGGGAGTTTTTTACAAAACAAATGTGTATTGTTTAAATTACCAGGATTTCTATTCATCTATGAACATACCACGCGAGGCAGGTACTGTCTGCTGTCTTCACATATGTTTTGAAAAAGTGAAGAAGAAATCAACTGTCAAAAATTATTTAACCATTAAATATAATGTCAGGAAATTGTTAAAAACATTGTTGTTTTTGATCTTCAACTGGAAATTTATCAATATGTGAAATATTTAGATTTATTGATAATACAGATTAATATATTCTTTCAACATGTCAACTGCAGCTTTGCAACTATTTGTTGCAAATCTTAAATCTCGACATGAGCATATTCGATTAAAAGCAGTGAATGAATTATCCATTTATGTAAAAAGTGAACTCAGAGAAGCCACTGCAGATGAAATTAATAGTTTTCTAGATGAGTGCAACCACCATATTTTTGATATGGTTTCAAGCAGTGATATCAATGAAAAGAAAGGCGGTATTCTTGCCATAGGTGAGCCAATATTATTGGAAGTTTACCATTTCAATGATTGTCAATCTGCTCTACTATCTCTTGGGTATTATGTATTGTACACTGAACGAATAAAGAATATCTATATGTAATGGGATTAATGAAGTATTTAAGTTACACTATTGTGATATTTCAACTAAGCAGTTTAAAAAACCGAAATATTTGATTCACAATGAAATAACTTTAGGCAAATTAAATATAGTGCTTCTTATATATATCAATATTTTAAATTAATAAGTAAAGGCGATGACATGTCCACTTGTGAATATGCCATCTATGGAATCAACAGAAGACTCAATGCAAGAATACCAAGATCGTCAACGTGATATGTTGCAAAGCTAATCATCGATATGTACAGCTGAACAGAATTCAGAAGATTTATTTAACATAATCAGTAAATTAGAATATAAAAATATTCTGGTTACAATGAACTTCCAGATTACTTACTGAAAAAATGTTTCGTTCACATTGTAGAACAACTTTGTGACATCATGACACCTCTGTAGAAACAGAAATATATCCATCCATAGTTGGATATATTTCTCTTGAAAAGGTGATACTATATCGTTTGAAAATTATTGTCCTATTAGCTTGTTGAACTTTTTCTCTAAACTTTTTTGAGTGTATAATAAAGTTGTTGATTTATTCAAAACTATCCTGTTTAGTAAAAGCCTTTGAACGAAAACAACATCTCTTTCTCCAAGAATTTTAAATGTCTTGAAATATTTATCGATGAATGTAAGAAACTGAGTCGAATGTGCTACACTTTGAAGTTTGTTTGCTAAAATACTTACATCGCTAAAACATTTTACTTTCCAAATTATTACTCACATGCTTGATATGGTATTACCGTTTAGGAATGGAAGTAGAATCTATCCTCCACAATGAAAATTATTTAATGAAAATCTCACAATAAAGTGTTAATTAAGTATGTATCAAAGCAAAATATAATTATTTTATTTTCAGTGTGCCTGATAGGGGCTGATGTTGGCAATATGACATCCAGAATTAGTAGATTCGCAAATTACCTTAGAAATTTATTGCCTTCAAATGATGTTGGTGTGATGGAGCTCACTGCTAAAGCTATGGGTCAACTTGCTTTTGTTTCTGGATCTAAAGCTTCGGAATATGTAGAATTTGAAGTGAAAAGAGCATTTGAGTGGTTACAAGAAGATAAAGCAGATGTACGGTTTGCTCTTATATTTTTTTTCAAATTGAGTCACAAATTCCTTCTTTCATGAGCTTCTTTATTTGATAGAAGATATTCAAGAAATAGATAATCCAATAGTTCTCTCTGAATCTATTTTCGTCCATTGATCACAAATGTTGATTTAGTAGAATCTGCTTTTGAAGAAATGGACCATAAGAAGTCAATAATGTAAAAAAATTGATTATTTCAGGAGCTCCCTTCTGACAATAAGAACATGAAATGACTTCTTACTTTTTTATGATTGTATGCTGCGAACATTAAATTCGAAATCCACATATATTCTTTCTCATACAAACTATTTTGACAGTATTTAAGTATTAAGAGTTGTCAAAGCTATTTTCCGAGTTCGTTGGCCGTTTTCAACAGGTTTTTATGCCTGACTGCAGTAGACATTAATCAAAGACGATGAGGCCACGAAAGAAGTGTTCGGGTTATTCTCATGGCAGATACTGATTAAGAAATACATATTTTCAAGAATGTCAACTGATTAACACTCTTTATGTGATTGGGTGGATTTAGAATCCAACAAAATGTTAAGTGGATTCATGTCCCATTTTTAATGTTTAATGATTATTTTTCATCTGTTGCTTCTAAAAACTAATGATTTGTGTATGTAGATATTATAGGTAAGTTTATACAATATAATAATATTTATTATTCAAATGCTTCCAACTTATTACTTGCCACTTATAGCTCATCACTTAAAACTGATGTATTAACCCACAATTAGATGTAAGTACTTGAAGGCAAAATTTGTTTTTTGGATTTATTTAAAGGTATTACCCTCTGAACTACAAAATACTTCATAATTTTCATGGCTTCATTATTTTTTGAATACAGGTGAAATGTAATCTGATGAAATAGTAATTTTATCACATTATTCTTATACAGAGTAAGTTCAGTAATGTCAAATATTCATTCCTAGTCCACTGATAGTAACAAAATATGAACCAATGAGTAAATCTATTCATAATTGAAATAATATTATCTCTGAAGAACTGAGAACATTAACAAAAATAGCAACAGCAATGCTGTGTGAGTAGGAAAAAGCTGAATTTTGATAATATTCATGAGTAAATAGTGAAACTGGGAGCTCTGGCGTTAACTAAATCCAAAAAAACAGGTACTTTTGCCAATCAACAAAACTTCAATACTCTTCTTGACATGCGTTTCACCAACCAAATTGGTGTCTTCAGGAGATATTTATAACTGGTATTTTTCTTAAAATGTGAAAAGGTCTAACTATTTAGTCATTGATCTGACTTCTAAGTTTTAAAATTCGAGGTCTTGAAGCAAACAGTCAAGTTTGGTCATAAAGTAAAATGCTTAAAATCTTTTCTTGTATTTCGATTCCATAATCCTCTATGTTTTTTTTTTACATATTTTGGGGAACATGATTTGAAAATTGGTAAGCTGTTAATTTGTTTCCAAAAATTAGAAACAATTCCCATATGCAGAGAGAGAGACATAAATAGATTTTCAACAATTTTATATCAAACTGTTTACATATATGAATGAATTGAAAAGAGTATGTAGAAATTCAGTAGATGTTTATACATGTTAAAAAAATGGTAATTGAGATATCACAACTCTCAGCTTGAAAAGCTGTAATGGGGTATTCAAATACTTCGTGAACTTCAGAGAAGTGGTGATTTTTTTAATTAATTGGTTTTTAATAACTCAGTTGTCTCATTTACATATCCAGATTCAAAGAGGCTTAGTATTATATCAACTCATCTAAAGGAACAATTCGTTCAGGCCAGTCTCAACTCCCTACACTGTAGGTTAATGGACTGACACCTATCAGAAAACAACTACTCTCCTGGCTGATACCACGAAGGGCGTTGGATTATATCCGACAGGTGTCAGTGCAGGATTCTTCACTGATGTTATTCCTGCATATGCTGTTGGCGATACAACTGCCGCAATTTATTTTCATTTATTGGAACACACTTGCAGACCGGTTTCGGACTGTTTGGCTACTCGTCAGTGCAAGGTAGTGACTATCATCAACATAAAGACAATGATTTCCGAAAATTGAAAATCGAATTCCTTCAGAGTATCATTCCTCGAACTTGGCTGAAGCAGACAACAAACAACAGGTTTCTCATCGCCCCATCTGCATGTGAACGAAGTAAACAACCGCATATCTGTATTATATGGTAATTTGCAAGCTAAGAGAATTGAAATTCACAGCATACAATCTAAGAAGGGATGTATCACTCAACTAGTTTTTGTTTTAACTACTATACGTTCATGTTATAATTGACCAAATTCTAACGGCAATCTCAAAATCAATCAATAAATTATGTAAGTTAATAAGAATCATTTCAAAATTTTTCCTCAAACTCTTTTTTATCTGAAAGGTAAAACCGAAACCCTTAACGTATAGTGAGTCAAATACAAAGATTACTACCACAAATTAGAACTGCAACAATCTACAGGTATTTCACTATTTGACTCGACATTTTCAGGAGATATTCTCATTATAGTAAACTACAACACATTTCTCGATGCACATTTCACCACCCAAGTTAGCATCTGCAGGAGATAGTTCATACTAGCTTAGGAGTATAAAATGCTGTAACTTATCTCCAAAAATTTAGTTTTATTCATTTTCTGATGATGCTTACTTGGTTGGTGAAACACGCGTTGAAAATAGTTTTGCGTTACAGGTACATGGAAGAAGTGTTTGTGTTAGGTTAATTGTTTGTGTTCCTTCTAGAACAGCTGTACTATACTGTGCAGTATCTGTGTAACATTTCATTCTTTTTTGTAATAAAAATACATTTTCAGTTGAATATTTTTTATAGGGAAAAAGACATGCAGCAGTTTTGGTCCTAAAAGAATTGGCAAACACAATGCCAACATATTTCTATCAGCAAGTCTCACAATTTTTTGAATTGATAATTAATGTGATTCAAGATCCAAAAGTAGCAATCAGAAAAGGGGCCATTGAAGCTCTTAGAGCAGCACTGGTTGTTACTGCTCAAAGAGAAGTTGGAAAGCAGAAAGTTATTTGGTAAACATTTATTATCATATATTAATTGTCTCAAAAATGATTTCATTTTCAATGTGTTTGAAACTGCAACTACTAATCATGAAATGTGAATTTCTGGACATTATTGCATTTTGAAAAATCCGTTCAAAAGGAAATTACGATATTTGTGATCAATAAAAGTAAATGAGTTTCTCATAAATATTCCAGATTTCTTTCATGAAACAATTGATGTACTTGGTGTGAGTTGAATTCCTGCCTCTCTCTGGGGATGTTTCTCAAATATGTTTGACACTGACAACCTTAAAGTCAGCAACATGAGGTTTTTTTTTATCAACAGATTAACATGAAATTCATCATTGGCATTAGATTCTGCTTTCAATGAGATCAATCATAATATAACTCTACTAACTGTCATTCATTACCTGTCTGTTGATATTGACATTACTTTTTAATTCAGAAATATATCATGTAATTTTTAACAAATAATACTTTCATTTGAAACAAAAGTTGATTCAATCAGTCCAGATTATCACATAGTAGACACAATATTTTTTTTTAACTTACATTTGTGATGTCCTGAGGTATAGAAAATATTACTACTGCCCCGATATTGATAACCTATCTAATATCTTCAAGTCTGTTAATGAATGTTCATATATTTTCTCTTTGGTTGTTGGAAAATGAAACTAGATATTTTTGAATACATTCATGAATTTTTGAATCGGTTCATGACCCAAGGCTTTTCAACTTTCAATTTGATTTTGTGATCATCGTTCCGCTGGGTACCCCTTAATCTCCCAACAATTCTGTTAGAACCTATTATAGTTTGGATTACTGAACATAATTCTGTGTTTACAGACAGCTATACTGTTGATAACAATACTACAGGGATCATCATAGATTTTGATCAGTGACTACAGATGTTACTGCTGAATAAAAACATTTTTTTCACAAATGTTCTAAAATTATGTACATTTTTTGGCCATTTGAAATTTTTTCTGTTTTCATAACTCTAAAATATTGGTACTAATAATCGTTGACCCTAGGTATAAACAATGTTACGAGGAGTCTGGTAAGCTTCTTCTTGCTGACAGAGGAGAAAAAATAAAGGATGAACGAGTTCATGCTTTCCTGTTGATTCAAAATGAGTTATTGCGACTTTCAAATGCTACCTGGGAAAGAAAATATACTACGCTACTTGAAAACACAGATACTAAACGTTCATTTGAAGGCGAAAAGTTCAATTTCAACAGGCCTCTTTTTATGTATCCCAATCCTAACAAAAAATCTGCTGACCACCACATTTCGCTGACTCTTACAACTGAAAAACCTGTCATAATTGAGTCTTCAGTTTGTCACCAGTTAGTTGCAGAAAAATTTCCCTACATATGTATTGACGTTATGCAGCAGAAATTCTCTAGATACAACTACGTACAGCAAACTTTATTGAAAATATTACCAAGATTAGCAGCATTTGACAAAAAGGATTTTGTCGAGAAGCATTTACCTGGCGCCATGAATTATTTGTTCAATATTTTGAAGAGCAGAGAAAGGGATCGAAACAAGGCATTTGTTACCATTGGTGAGTTCAAAAATGGCATTGCAAGCTGTAGAGTTTTTTCATCCATATTTCATTTAAGGTTTGATGGCTATTGCTGTTGAGGAAGAAATGGATCCTTACGTAGAAAAAATTATGGAACTCTTAAAAGCCGCGCTCCCAAGAAGCGAAATGACATTGAAGAAGCGTTCAAATATAGATTCCTGTATTTTCAAGTGTATAACTTTTCTAGGTCTAGCTCTTGAAAATCACGATAAAATGGATATACCAAACATTCTGGAACAAATGCTAGCTACTGGGCTATCTCCTTCTTTAACAATTTGTCTGAGAGAATTAGCTAAAAAAGTACCTTCTCATAAAAACAAAATCAGTTTGGGCTTGTTGCAGATGTTATCTCAAATATTACTGAACCGACCTTTGGTCCATCCTGGTAATCCCAAGCAAATGCCTTCTAATTGGATGTCTATTAGCAGTTCTTCTGATTCCTATGAATCCCACATTATTGTATTAGCCTTACACACCTTAGGCACTTTCAATTTTGAGGGTCAGCGTTTATTACCATTCATTCAAAGATGTTCCAATCACTTTTTAGCCCATGAACAAATTGAAATAAGACTCGAGGCAGTCAAAACAACATGTAGGTTGCTCAGACATGCAATAAGAAGCAGTATCAAGAATCCTTCTGAAACGGTTACTAGGACTGTAGCGTCTGTACTTTATCGTCTTCTCAGTGTTTCATTGACAGACACCGATCCCACCATTCGAAGAGGTGTCCTTGTTTCACTAGATCCTACTTTCGACAATTACTTGGCCCAAGCAGAATCGTTGGGGGCACTTTTTATTGCACTGCAAGATGAAGTATTTGAGATTCGAGAGATTGCTCTTTTTACCATAGGCAGATTGAGTTGTAAGAACCCAGCGTACGTTATGCCAAGTCTCAGGAAAGTATTGGTTCAGTTATTGACTGAGCTAGAGTATTCTGGAATCGGTAGGAATAAAGAACAGGGGGCTAGGATGCTGGACCATCTTGTAGTTAGTGCGCCTAGATTGATCAGACCTTATATGGAACCTATTCTGAAGGCAAGTATTTTTTATAGATTGTAAACGAGTATATTGTTTGATTTAGATAAAATGTACTGCTTTCAAGATTTTTTAAAGTTGATATGATGTTATAAACTAAACAAAGTTTAATATTATTGCAAACGGTAGATTTTAATAGTTTAATTCCCATATTTGAATTTATTTTCTCTGTAACTACTCCTGTTGGTTGATTATCTGTGCATATTGAGCATGCTGAGAAAAAGAATAGGAACTAAAATGTTTCAACTTTTTCAAAACAAAATATGTGTCTGAATATTCTTTCCAAAGAAAATCATAATTTTCTTTTTATTCACATTATGCGGAGTGTGGGAATCTTTACACACCAATATCCGAACGTTATCTCTTTTTTTTCTTTATTTTATTTATCATAAGTCTCTTCGATATTGGATATGTAAAAAATATTCAATTTCTGATATAAAAAATAGTAAGAGCCTTGAGGAGTCATCCTATAAATTGAAAGTTTTCTCAAACATGTAAATGAAAAATTGTATATTTTCAAAGAATTAAATACTCCCGGGAAACTGACAACACTAACTTAAATTAGTATAGACCTATCAAAAGCACGAGTTTCAACAAAAGACGGAATGTCAGAAGAAATACAAACGGAAATGTTGAGATAGGTAGACTCCCTTTCTACTACATTATTATTCAATATTGCTATAAAGGTCGGCAAAAATCAAATAGATTATTATTGGAACCTCGCCACAAATCGAGATATGAGGATGATATTCGCTAGAAACTTGAAAAGCATCTAAGAATACTAGTAAATATGAAGAAATAAGCAAGGAAATAGACCCGAAATCATCCAGGCTGAACAAAATACTTGGTATGTACCAGGAAAGATAGAAATATTATATGTTGGCTATGCACATTGGAAAGTGCCTTTCAGTATTAGTGTTTACTAGGAATCACAGAAGAGATGAAATGAGTGAGCATATCCTGCTAGGAATGAAACCTACCACAATTTTCATTGGAAAAAAAATCGGCATTAAAATGGACTTGAGAAGACTAAATTAGTAAAACTAAATGAAAGGACAAGACGATGGGTGATCTAAGAAAACCAAGAGTCAGAAACTGGAGTCTCACAACTAACATTAAAAAATGAGCTGAGCTCATGTAACAATTGGATCATAACAGCCCAAAAGGGTGGCAACCAGTTCTCCGGGAGTACAAAAACTAATATGATGATGAAGAGGTAGTTTTTCATCAATAACATGATATCTCTTATAATTTCCTCAAAGAAAGCAGTAGAAATCTACCAGTTGTAAACTATATTAAGATTCATGAGTTTTTTGCTCATAACACTGGCTGTGTCTGCTATCTACACTACATTTATTTTTCTTCCAAAGAAAAGAAGAAACATTTTTTTTTCAAAAAAGCTCCAACAGAGAAATTAAATCATTGAATTTTCTCACTAGTCTGATGAATTTGTGTTGTATATCGATATGCTTTATTGTGAATATCTGGACTAATGAATTATATTCTCCCTGAATTGAAAATCCATCACATATGTTACATAGACCTCTTTCACAATATAATCATTTAGATTTTGTGTAACTGATTGCATCATAATATATCCTTAAACAGTTTATTTTTACAATCATGTCTCTAGCAGCTTGGTTTTGCTCAGATTCATGAATACACCAGTAGCTTTTTTCTGGGATCAACACTAGTAATAAATCAAAATGGTACTTTTTTCTAGTTCGTTAACATATACTACTTTTTAGGTTTTAGTTCCGAAACTGAAGGAACCTGAACCAAACCCTGGTGTAATATTATCTGTCTTATTAACTATTGGAGATTTAGCTGAAATTACCGGTGGTGATTCTGAACTTCAGCAATGGATGCATGAACTGATGCAGATTTTGCTGGAAATTTTAAGTGATGCTTCAGCACCAGATAAGCGTGCCGCTGCTTTATGTACCTTAGGACAGTTGGTAGGAGCAACGGGTCATGTAGTTAGACCCTACAATCAATATCCTGTTCTGCTGGATGTTTTAATCAATTTTTTGAAGACTGAACAGCAACCTTCCATCAGAAGGGAAACTATAAGAGTCCTTGGTTTGTTAGGTGAGTTGAAATGATTCATGTACTGCCAGAAATTTTTTTAGTCAAAGCATGTCATTCTTCAATTGAAGGTAGGGAATAGGGTATTATATTCTGTTTTTGTTTAAAATCTGTTTTTCCGTTAACCAGCTGTCGCACTCCTACGAACGACAACCCTCAGAAGTCGAAACTTGTGCGAGCTAAGGACTAGCGAGGTCTTATCTTTTAACGTGTGATTCCTAACACTGACAAAGCTTTGCTGAATCAGAAGTAAATAAGATCTAACATCAAATGAGTTTGATAAAATTAAAAAAGGAGAGAGCACTTCATGTGTTGATAACATAATAACTAGTGATAGTGCCAAAATAGTCCACGTTAACTTCTCATTTGTCACTATTCAATTTTTACCTTTCACTACTCATGTTCAAATGTTCAACATTACTGCTCACGCAGGTTCTCACAGACCTGTGAGGTGAAATATATAAATTAAAGCTTTTGTATATACACTATCTCAAAAACCAAATCCTTCACACAAAAAATACCCAAAGAATACATTCTTGACAATAAAATATAATTTCATAGAAATCAAATACTATCTGATCAATCAGATTACAGCAAGTTGACATGAGAAGTATCTACATATAAAATTTGCAGATTTTTTACAGTTCAATTCAGCCTTACTGTCCCTATAAGAATAATATCTATAACGGTTGTATTAACGTTTACTAACACCACCTTCTTTTGCAAACCCATCAAGTTAAATTTGTTAGTTGTGCTTGACATTCATTCAGTGAAAGTAAACGGAAGTTCTTTTAAAAGGATTTTTCTAAAATTACCGTATTTTTTTCTGTGGGGTACATGAATATTCGTCAAGAGAAAAACAACATAATTGGCAAACGCTATGTTTTTCTTGCTACATCGTATGTAGTACAAAGTTTTTCAACATATGTTTCTTCCAAAGGGTTTCACAATTTATCTCAACAAATGATAGTATTCAAAAGGGTTGTGACTGCTCGACAGTTTCATCATGACACATGTTACCATCTTGTTTTATCAAAAAATTCCTTCCCAAAATCTGTTTAGTCGTTATTAGGGGCATCATCACCTTATCAAAAAGATGCTTAGAATCTACATAACATTTATTGAAATATATGTATCATTTTTTAACTAATTCAAATTATTACCTTTGAAATATATGAAAATCAGATGTGCCATAAAAAAATTACAAACAAAAACAAATTCAAACACTCAATCACTCATAAAGTATACAACTTCTTTTGGTGCAACTCATTAGAGTCAAAACAGAACTGTGGTTAGAGAGAAATATGGAACCCTATGTCGATACAGAACTCTATCACTGAAATATACAAGAACTAAGATTATCTAGGTATATAAAACTGGGTATGAGTAGTGGAAAATTAATGGGCTTTTTGAATTGTTGTGACGCTATTGCCAAAAGTATTCAAAAAACACTTTGTTGTGAGATGTTCAACTAAACAGTTTTACAAAACAACAACACGTGTTTTGCCATACAGTGGCTTCTTTACAGACACGCCCGAAGTGAAAATCTCACAATAGTGTTTTTTGAATACGATAGTTATGGATTTTCATCAAGTATCGGCCAATTCCGTCATATACTATTGCCAAATGTATATCATCAATATGATGAAGAATATTATTGGAGTTTTTTCCAAACACCAAACCGTTATTTCAACACCTCGACACGTGTTTCGATCACCAAGTGATCATCTTCAAAAGGAAGATTAAACTAATCATACTTACAAAGCTATCCTTATTTATACCATAGATACCTGTTCTAGGTACCTGCGTACCTGCGGATTTATGTGATGATTGTTAGACCAATGATCACTTATGGTGCAATTGCCTGGTGGTCGAAAGCTTTACAGAAAACGGCCCAGGCGAAGCTCTCTGGCTTAGAGAGACAGGCTTGTCTGGCTATCAGTGGTGTCAGCGGCCATGGAGATCCTTCTAGATCTACCGCCTCTCCACATTTTTCTGGAGAGAGAGGCTAGATGGACTGCATATAGACTTCTGCACATTGCCAATTGCACAAATCAATTGAATGCAGAGTATGACAGACTGTTGGTTGACACTGGAAGTCACAGCATTCTGGAAATGACCTCTGACTTTATGCCTCCAACTGTCAACTACGAACTGCCTCGGGAATAGTTCCCGAGTAGAGAGGACTGGATCCTCCGGGAGAATGAAATATTAAGAGCAGATAGTTGTTAGTTCACAGATGGATCAGAAACACCTTCCAGTTCTGGTGCAGGTGTTTTTAGTCGCAGACCCAGGACAGAGTTATCTACCTGCCTAGGAACTTATGCGACTGTATTTCAAGCGGAAATTTACGCTATTGAATTGTGTGCGGAGAGATTGGATAAATCCAACCCCACACACAAGTCAAAAAAATATTCTCGGACAGTCAAGCGGCGTTGGTAGCTCTTGGCTCCTACCGAGCAACGTCTAAATTGGTAGCAAATTGCCAAAAACGACTCTCTTCGATAAGAAGACTTAACAGATTGTCTCTGGTCTGGATTCCTGGCCATACTGGCCTAGAAGGCAACGAAGCTGCTGACTCCCTTGCAAAGGAGGGTGCTGCAAGCAGCTTCATCGGACCAGAACTTGTCATTGGCATCGTTTTAGGCTTTGCCAAACAAACTTTGAACACCTGGTTGGCAAGAAGATTCATAGACTTCTGGCAGAATCTTCCAGGATTGGCTCACTTCAACGCTTTTATTCACCCTTCGAAGCTTGACACCAAACAGATGTTGGACTACAGTAGGGATGAACTACGATGTCTAAAAGGCCTTCTTACAGGTTACTGTCATTTGAATCATCATATGCAGAGACTTGGACTGTCAGAAGACAATGTGTGTCGCCTCTCGTTTGGAAAATGATGAAACAGAAGAGCATATACTTTTTGCCTGCTCCGCTGGGGACCGAATCAGGTTCTTAGAGTTCGGCAGAGATGTACTCTTACCATCTGACCAGAAAGACCACTCACCGTACAAACTAATCGGCTTCGTTAAGAAGCTGGGTTTATTTGGCCGGTGTGAATAGGTGTGAGCCATAATAAACCCTTGCGTGTTGCGGTGGAGGTTCGAATAGACCCACTCACTTTAGACCTAGCCTAACCTAACCTGTGTCTTGAGTGTCTAAATTAATTTTACAATTTACCTTATCTACTTGTCTTTAATTGATTTTACAATGTGTCCTTTTGTAACAGTCAGGTAAATCTAATAATTGAAACATTATAAGCTATATAAAATTAATTTCACATATTGCCTTATCTACTAGTCTTAAATAAATTTTACAATGTTTCCTTATGTAGAATCATGTCTGCTGGGCTCGACCATAAGGACACATTGTAAAATTTATTTAAGATTGGTAGATAAGGCAATATGTGAAATTAATTTTATATAGCTTATAATATTTCAATTATTAGATTTACCTGACTATTACATAAGAACACATTGTAAAATTGATTTAAGACACTCAAGACGTAGGTACCTAGAACAGTTATCTGTGGTATACATAAGAATAGCTTTGTTAGTATGATTAATTTGATCTTTCTCTTGAAGATGATCACTTGGTGATCGAAACACGTGTCAAAGTGTTGAAATAAAGGTTTGGTATTGGGAAAAAACTCCAGTAATATTCATTACTACACCAAAGATTCCAAACAGTGCTTCACAAGAATATGAAGGAGGTCTAAGTTAAATTTTTAGATTATTTTCTACAGCTAGCTCACATCATAAAGTAAAAATGAAAGAAGAATGATTTAATTTTCATATGATGTCATAATTTCGGAAATTTGATATAGAAACCTTTTTTAGGTGCTTTGGATCCTTATAAGCACAAAATCCATCGAGGACAAGTTGATTATCAACCAGAATCTCCAACGTTGATAGCAATGTCTGATAAAGGGGCAGGAGAAGTTGAAGGTGAATTTGGATTGAATTCAAGTGAGATGTTGGTTAGCATGAGTTCTCATACGTTGGAAGAGTATTATTTGGCAATGGCTATAGCCACTCTCATGAAGATAGTAAGAGATCCTACTCTTTCTCAACATCACACTATGGTTGTGCAAGCTGTCACTTTTACTTTCAAGAGTTTGGGTATTAAATGTGTCTCATATATTCCTCAGGTAAGGTAACTATTTCACTTGGTAATATTTTGAAAAACGGTTGCTGATTTCAAACCAAATAAGGAAATTATAAATTATTAAGTAGAGTATTGTTAAAAATTGTTGAAGGTTATTCAAAAAAGCAAATCAACCACCAGGAGATGATTGAAGCTAATTACAATATCAAACAATCCATTTTAATTAGATCACTATCCATGCGGGTTTAACTAATCAAGTAAGCATCTCCGGAAGTGATATTGCAAAATTGGCCTGCTTTATGTAAACGTTATAGACTGAGCAACATATTTGATGAGGACAAAACAGAACTTTTTTATAATATGGCAACAGACAGAATGAGAAAATTGCCCTGGTGGCAAAATGCATCAAGAGAGACTAAGGATAACGGTTGCAGTAAATATCACGGGTTCCAGGAGGCTTTTAGTTGCCAGAAAATCTAAGAAACCAAAATGCTTTAAAAACATTCGCTCATATATGAATACAATAATAAGACATCTTACATTTTTGAAAAATGGTCTATTGGGAAGCTGAATAGAAAGCAAACAATAAATAAGTTCTATTTTTAGTTGATGACTGCCATGCTCATCCAGAAATTATTAATCTGAAGTGCATCAAACTGCTGTTTTTGCCACATCTGTTCTGCAATTCTTGGACCAAGGTATAGTTATTTGAAATCACATAACAGAAGACTGCAAGTGTTGAAATTGATACAAAACCTTTAGAGCAATGACCAGAAAGGCTTTACAGTTCTTGACGCCATCTTGATGAAATCAGAAGATTAATAAAGCTTTTTTCAAAAGACTGTGAACTGCTCTAGATATGCAGGTTTTAACTACCTCTTTTACCAACATGCTCAAATAATGTTGATGTTCAGTTGGCACAATTGTTTTTTATGGCCGATAATGCTTGGCTGACGGCTGATTTGTCTTCTTATGAAGTAAAGGCATTCATTGATGTCGATAACTTCATTGAAATTAGTGGACCAACCATGGAGGATCACATTATATAAGAAGTTCAAGAGGACATTGACGACCAGGAAGAGACAAGAAGAATTTACAGTACCGATCCAGAATGGTAATTCTAATGCCATTAGTGTATTACGAAAAATTGATCTTTTGAATTGCCAGTTTCATGAAAAGGGAAATTATGATGATACACTGACTGAAATACTATGTGTACTACAAAATTTATAATTCGAGAGAAATGTTACAAACAGGCTGAAATTACTAAAGTTTCATTCATACATTAAATTTTATGTGCAATCAATATTGTGAATAATATCACTTTTATTCTTCATTTTTATTACTTCTATTAATATCCTTGTATGAAAATTTGTACATACATTAAATACTATGACTATCGTTTTTATGTTCGAATATCAATGGTCTCTTGAATGTCGTAAAAGCCATAATAACCAATATATACTAGTATAAACTATACTGACTATTCATCTTTTGATGAGAGAAACATTCGTAGTAAAATGTTGCAGTTTTGCAGTGTTTGTGTTGAATTCATTCTATGCCAGAGATCCACCTCTAACAATTAATGATAACTAAACACATCTAAAGGATTCGTGAAGTATGAACACGACCAATAGGAATGCAATAAGGAAATATTGTTTGATTGTTTTACTATCATTTAAATGCAATTTAATGTCATATGTTTGGCAGCTCCAGAGTTACTTGGAGCAGCTCCTTCTCTTAAGAGAAATACAGTAACTGTTTGTGGCTTGATTACATATCTCTACTGATCTCACTTTTTTAGGTCCTTCCTAGTTTGTTGAATGTTGTGAGAACATCAGATATAAGTTCAAGAGAATTCCTGTTCCAACAACTCGCACAGTTGGTAGCTATAGTAAAGCAGCACATCCGTAATTACTTGGATGATATTTGTGAATTGATCAAGGAATTCTGGGTACCAAATAGCATTATACAGAGTACAATCATCCTTCTTCTTGAACACATAGCCGTAGCCCTAGGTGCCGAATTCAAAGTGTATCTACCGAGATTGATTCCACAAATCCTCAGAGTACTGAATCATGATACCTCTAAGGATAAAATACATACCATGAAGCTCTTGGAAGCTATGTATAAGTTCGGAAATAACCTAGAAGATTATATGCATCTCATTCTCCCACCGATTGTTAGGTAAATGTAAGTCATTGAAATCACAAGCTTATGTATCTTCTTCTACTTCTAGGTTATTTGACGCTCCTGATTGTCCTCTTCCTGTTTCTAAGCGAGCTTTGGAAACGATTGACCAACTAGCTGAAATCCTTGATTTCTCTGATTACATATCTCGGATTGTTCATCCTTTGGTGAGGACAATAGATAACTCACCTGAACTACGTAATGCCGCAGTTGAATGTCTTTGTTCCCTGATCATGCAACTTGGCAGAAAATTTTGTGTATTTGTACCGATGGTTCAAAAAGTTTTCAATAAGCACAAAATACAACATAAGAATTGCGAAATCTTAATGTCGAAGATACAGACTGAGACCACTATGGCTGACGAAACTGATTTTGTCATACCGAGAAGAAAAAATAAGGAAGATCTTTCTGTTTCTAGTGATTCATCCATGAGCCAAAGACTCAAAGTATCTGTGGAAAATCTACAGCAGGCATGGATGCCTAATAGAAGAGTTTCAAAGGTAATTAATCTAAAATTAAAATCCATCAAAGTATAAGTCCAAAATCTGAAAAGAAGTACAGCAAGCAAGTTTTATTATTGATTGTTGAATATCGCCAATGACATTGCTGCTAAATCTTTTTATTGGTGAAATCAGTAGTTCGTTATGATCTGATACTTAGAAATTAACTTAGTTTGCAGTAAATTTGAAAATAAGTGCAATTTCTTCGGTATCAGAACTAGAGAGTGACGTGGTTCATCAGAAATCAAACTTTAAAATCACCCTAGTTTTTCTCTATGTATAAGTATTACTTTTTTAAGGAACTACTTGCTTTGTTCTCAAAAGGTTTTACTATCATATCTTTGCAAGCCATTGCAGAATAGCATCAGACTAATCTTCTGATGATTGAAAAAACTTTATAATTACCTACATATAAAAATTCAAATATTAACTATCTGTCTTCTGAAATACAATGAATTAGAATATGTCTTCGGCAAAAAAATACAAGTTCCTGACACCCTCTGATGACTATACCAGTTACCTATAAAAATTATTCAGTCATTGCAATATTTAAATACAATGAAGGCTTGCCGACAAAGGCTGCAGCAAGACACAGCGAGTTGTCAAATTGAGAGAACTTTGTTCTTCACTAGCTGTCTAGATCAAAAAGCCATTATATGATATCTGTGATATCCCAATATCATGGAGGTGCATAAAAACATAGTCTACCATCCACGGAGTCCGCCATATTGGATTGATGGTGACGTCATTTTATTTCCCTATTATTTTCAAACAACCCTTTCATTTCATACCCCTATCATGGAAGTGCACGAAAAGTAATTAGTCTGCCATATTGGGCTATCCGCCATATTAGGCGGCTAACCATATAGCATAGGATTTAGAGCGACATCATTTTATTTTTCGAATTCTTTTCAGCAAACTTTTTTTTCATTTGATTTTCAGGCATGCTTGAAGAACTCTACTTATTTATTAGTTTTTTAAATATGGATTTCCATCTAGTTCTATTCAAGAATCTTGTATAATTAGTGGTCTTCACTCAATTAATGAATAAAACTGCTCAAAATGAAATTAAAAATCTGATTAAAGTTACTTCTTTGGATGATCTACACATCTTTGGAAATCATTTAATTTGAAATTACCTGCTTTCTTTCTTTTCTTTGGAAGATTCTCACATTTTTTGTATGAAGATATAGAAGCAGAAAGCCAGAATCTTTCGTTCCTAAATTAGTCTCTCATAAAAATATACCTCTTTCAATTTTTTTAAATTTTCTTTAACAATTCTCATCTGTTATTGGTGATGAGTTTCAATTGTATTTGTCAATATTTTATTTATATATTATTCTAATTTTGTGTTGTGTGTGTATAAATCATATTTCTTCCAACTGTTTTATGTTCATTTAGTACTTAAGTTATTTTTATTTTACCCTGATTCTTGTTGTTAACACGGACTTCATTATGTAAAAGCTATTTGCTAAATAAAGGATATAAACAGTATTCATAGAGCAAGATCTACTGGATATTATACTACTTTAGATGGTAATTTAATGAAATTTATACCTTGTGTTGTACAGTATGATCAGTATGAATGTTGAGAGAATTTATAACTTCATAAATGGTTTCAATGACAGTGTAATATGCATTTTTATAATTTAGGTGAAATTAAATTATGCATATTTACCAAGGTGTGCAGCTCCTCAAAAAGGTGCCTGTGAAATATAAATTTTTAATCCATTATTCTCAATACTATATATAATAATTGTGAAAAAACTTGAGTTTACTACTGCATTTCATAAACCTGCTCGAGACACTGCCTGTATAAGTTGAAAATGGAATATTTTCAGTAGAGAGAAAAAACATTTCGGCTTTCTACTTCTCCATCTTTATACAACAGTTGTGGAAAACTTCTGAAAAAACGATAGCAATTAAATTCAAAATAAACTCTTGTTACAAAGATGTGTAGATGATGTATTTGACTGATTATCATTTTGTATTTTCAGGATGACTGGTTGGAATGGTTGCGTTGCTTGAGTCTTGAATTACTAAAACAGTCTCCGATTCCTGCCTTAAGGTCTTGCCTTCCTCTAGCTCAGACATATTCTCAGTTACCGAGGGACCTGTTCAATGCAGCATTTGTCAGTTGTTGGACTGAGTTGAATGAAGATAAACAAAAGAGTCTCATCAATGGTCTTGAGTTAGCACTAGAAGTGCCAGATGTTCCAGAAATTACCCAAACCATTTTGAATTTGGCAGAGTTCATGGAACACTGCGATAAAGGTCCACTTCCCTTAGATCCTCACGTACTCGGCGAACATGCTATGAATTGCAGGTTTGAATCTAAATTTCACAAACTTTGAAGAAATATAGTACCATTTTGAATTTCAGAGCATATGCCAAGGCCCTTCATTACAAAGAAGAGGAATTTCAAAGAGGAGGCACATCAAATGATCATGTTGTGGAATCTTTGATCTCTATCAATAATAAACTACAACAAAAGGAAGCAGCTGAAGGTTTATTACAATATATGATGAGACAAGCTGGTAATGTGCAAGTCAAAGAACGTTGGTACGAAAAACTGCATAATTGGGACAAAGCTTTGGGCATGTATAAGGAAAGAATTGAAAATTCCTCTGAGTTCGACCAAGAAGCATGTCTAGGACAAATGAGGTAAGTTTGCATTCTCAACTTGGGTATTCATGATTTATAACTGATATAAATTATATGACTGACATAGTAAGCTATTTTTCATCACAAGCAAAAATGATCCATACTTCTCTCAACTCGTTCAATAGCGGTTTCATGAACAATCTGGAATCTTCTGTTGATAGAGTGACTTATTTTGAACTTGTTGAGTAACACGTTGTGATCGATTTTATATATATGATATTTATAACATGATTAATAGATTTGCAGTATCTACAAGTAACCATTAGAATACAAGGGTTGCCTTTTATGTTCTTACAAACAATTGATTTTGTACCTCTGACTTCACTTCTGATAATTCCGAATCAGCAGTTATAACAAAGATCAAAATGTTTTGAATAACCATGGTCAAAGTTCCTTCCAAGTTTTAACTTGTGAATACTTATTTCCAGTTGTTTATTTAATAGGCATGCTTCAAGCTCCTATTGAATTTGTCCATTGGTTTATGATGATGCAAGATAAGGTAAGGGTAAAGTGAGAAATTGTTTTTTTGACCTTTATTAAAAGTAAAGAAGATTTGACCTTTTTCATCTTTCTGAGAGCCGTCTAACTTGTCAGACTCTTCCAAGTCTTGCGAATATCCAAGTCTGCAGTTTCAAGGGCTTATTGCATTTTCTCCCCATCTTTTTCGTGACAATCATTCCAACAAGCTTGTTTTCTGTACTAGTCCATACAGGTCTCTTTCTGGACGCATGTCATATTCTTGACCTTAGTGACATAATGTTCATAGTTTTTGGTAATTTTGGAGTTGGTGGAACTACATGAACAAATGAAGCATTTATATCCTACAGAAGCTAAGTGTCAAACAAAAATGTGCCAACTATTTTTCTTTTAGGTGCTCTTTACAATCAACGATGGCTCCACCTCATTTCTATTGGAGCTAAGTGCCAGTCATCATTACTGAATATTTAATATTGTTGTTACATCAAGTTTACGGTTATTTAGTACACGGTGGACAATTTCTTATATTCTATAGCTTTTACAGAATCTCTCAAGGAGAAAGAAACATATAAAATGAATCAGTGTGGGACCAGAATATGTATTCAAATAACACTTTACTGTGCGTTTTTCACTTGTTCACAAAACCACGACATGTGTTTCACTATACAACAGTGTGTTCAATATCCAAAATAAGTCGGCCCAGTCTGAACAAGTGGCCAACCGTTCCTAATTGGTACAAGGGTGATTTTCAGAAATTATTACTGTACATCAAAGAAAAAAATGGGACATTATGTCAAAGAATCTGAATAAACCGATTATAATGCCCCTAAATGAACAATATATTAAAAAAAACCTTGTTTGCTTCACCTAAAAGTATTAACTTGCTAATGAAATTAACCTAGTTTATATTTGTTTTTAAAATTTACACCTACCATGAAAAAACTTCTTTTTCTGTTTACTACATAATGAATAGTTCAAATATTTCATTAAACCTTCATACTAACTGAAAGTTCATTTTGTTGCTTCCTGTGATTAGTATGCACTTTTTTTTGAGATTTGACTTACTATCAATAGCAATATGAAAATAAAACGTTACAAAAATTACATATAATTTATCACACTAGAATATGAAGAAAGTTTTTGCTAACTTCCGAAAAATTCGAAATTGGCACTTAGCTCCTTTGTATGTAGTGGTTTCAAATATTGTTAATCTTCATTATTTTTTGTTTTAACATTTTTCCATGGAGCGTTCATCGATCATTCAAAAAAGAAAAATGATTTGTGATAATATGGATGATGTGTGAATAAAATTTCCGGTTATGTTGATTTTACACTGGTTGGATATATATGTCAAAAATCATAGTATAGCGCTTTTTGATAGCTTAGAGGTGAAAACGCAATTCAGAAAGTTGTAAATTGCCAACTTATTATCTTATTACTTTTCCTACCGATATTACTTTTCATTTCATCTAGAATACAAATATATTATCTTAATATTTTAACTTCATTACATTACCGTACCTCATTTCCTGTATCTTGTGCATTAAAATTGTTAAGTAGTATTATTATTTATATTTGAGTACCCAATCAAAGAGACAAAATACTGAGTTATTTTTCTCTTCTTATCATTCCCATTCACGATAATCGGGTGAAAATTTGTCTTTTATTATCATAGAATCAGCGGTAGCCTTAAAATTGACAATTCAGTTAGTTGTCAGTAAGTGATCGACAAAAATTGAACATTTCATTGTCTAATATGATACAAATTAATTTGAAATCCCTGAAAGAATCTGTCAAAAATTAAAAAGATTAGCTGAAAAATAACAATTATATTAAGCAAAAAACTGAAATTGCAATGAAATAAAATACAAACAACAACCAAAAAAATAAAAATGAGAAATTGAATTTTTTCATCGACCATTTTTTATATATAAAAAATGGAACTATCAACATGAGATGAAAATTTAAAAAAATTATCAAAGAGAAATGAAAAATATAAATTAAAATATTTCAAACCAAGTTACTTAACGACGTTTCGACTGTGTGTATCCACAATCATCTTCAAACAAACAAAAATGGAATTACGAAGATTTTTCATTGGTGTTTGTGATTCAGAAAGATTCAACTCCACAAGGATTGCAGAAAAAAGTGTTTACAATTGTTAAAAAAAAACATTGATATCGAAAACAAGTTGTTTGAACGGTATATGACATACCATTGAATATCACAGATGACAATACATTCGATGTTGCATGAATATTTAGGTAGAGGAAAGAATTTGTTCCAGATATTTATATAAATCAGAAACCTAACAACAATTCATGTTTGAGATTAACACACAAAAAATTCGTTCGTAATACTTCCTGTTTATTTGGCTTCACTAGACTTATCATCACCATTCCTTTAAGATGTAAAGGATCTAAAAAACAGTTAGCACTCAATGTGTTACAATAATTTGTTTGCCTAAACTCTTAGATGCAGTTAGGAAAAGTTATTGAGAATGACATCACGAAAGTGAAAGAGTGGTTTGACTCAAATCTCTTGAGCTTGAATTTATCAAAAACAAAAGTAGTGTCCTATCGTTGCCAGATTTCTGCCATACATCTAAAGAATATTAAAATTGACAACGTACCAACTGGCTTGTTCATTGACAATAATTTAAAATTCAACAAACATGTAGATAGTTTGAAATCCAAGCTCTCCTCTGGATGTTATGCCATACGAGTAACTGCATTTGAGCTCGGATCTGCAGTAGCTAAAATAGTTTATCATTCCCTTTTTGAATTCCATCTTCGTTATGGTATTTGCTTTTGGGGTGTGTATTCTACCACATGCCTTCAATTAGTATTACTGATACAAAAACGTGCAATACAACGTTCTCAAAATGTTCAATCACCTTTCTCAAGCTATAATAACCATAAATGAATTCACTGCTCTTAAGAAAGAGTTGAAAAACTTGCTTTCTGCGAGACCTTATTATAGCTTAGCAGAATTTTACGGTGATAATTTTAATTGAGTATGACTAACTGTAATATCTACGGTATTTTATTGATTTCATTCAATTTAGTTTAAATTGATTTATTTCATTTTATTGACCATGTTCTTATATCCTGAACGTTTGTATTAGGTTATTGTTATTTACATGTCCCTTTTCAGTTCATGTTATCACTTTTAGCGATTTTACTTTTGTGATACTTTTGTGATTTCGTTTATGTTATTTATATTTCGCACAAGGCTTTGCCAATAAGAATTCATTCTTCAGACAATAAAGTATATTTTGAATTGAATTGAACCTGAAACGTCAATTTCTTAACAGCCTTAGCTTCCTCACAGCACATCAAACAATAGATTATTTGAAGAACAAAAAAATTCAATTGATGTCTTATTTCTTGAATTTTTCCGACTTTTAACTTTTTTAACTTTAACTAAAAAATGGAAAAACTGTTTCGAAAATGCTTGCAAAAGTATGTATTTTTGAAAACAACAAAACAGTTTGTTCCAAAATAATGTTTTTTCTAATTTTTGTAAAAACTTGAAAGGTTTCCTTCGTATGTAGGACACATGCTACAAAGTTAACTACAAAATGAAGATAAGTTGATTATTTGATGGTTTTTCACCAATTTTTAATGGTTCTATTCTATTGAATAAAAGCTAAAAAAATGAAATAAAGACTGAAATATTGTGGAACGTGTATATAAAAGGTAATGAAATAATATTTTATAGGTGCCTGGAAGCTCTAGGAGAGTGGGCTGACTTGCACGAAGTAGTCGAAAATAAGTACAATCTTCTTTCGGATGATTATCAGCAGAGAGCCTGTCGTCTTGCTGCGGCTTCAGCATTTGGAATACACAACTGGAAATCAATGGAACGCTACGTTAACATTATTCCAGAAGATTCCCAAGACGGGGCATTCTACCGTGCCATTCTAGCTATTCACAAGGAGCAGTACAGGGTGGCTCAGGATTATATTTATATGACCAGAGACATGCTAGATACTGAATTGACTGCTATGGCTGGAGAAAGTTATCAGAGGGCCTACGGAGCTATGGTTCAAGTACAAATGTTGAGTGAACTAGAAGAGGTAATGTGTTAATAAATTACCAAAAAAATTCTTGGGTGAATAATCCTAATTTTTAATAATGTGGTGTTGTAGATATTCGAATGACAATTTTTTTTATATCACAGATTCTTTGAGGCCACAATCATGTTTTTTTTTCTTTAAAATGACTATTAGTTGTTTATTTATTCCATGTTATCTGCTTTATTTCCATGAAATTTTGACAAATTTTAACAATACTTTCTAATTTAAATTATTTGTGAAGACTTGAAAGCAGAAAATGTAATTTTAATTTGTTATTGATTATTAATGTCATTAAAGAAATATATAGTGCTGAAATGCTGTAGGTATGTGAGAAAAATTATTGATTGATTCATCGGCAAATAATAAGATATTATATGACAAGTAAAAATTCAAAATGCCAAGCAAGAAACTTCAGAATTGTTCATGTTTATAATTGGGATATATGGAATCGACTATCTATACTAATATAAATGTGAAAATTTGTTAGGATGGATGGATGTATGTATGTTTGTGGCCCTTTCACGCCTAGACTGAACGTAATTAGAAGAAATTTTACATAACTACAGCTTATACATCAGAATAACATGTAGGCTACAACTTGGTTTTATGTAATTTTGGTCATAATATAACGATAAGTATTAAGTAAGTGGGAAAAATTCATTGAGAGCTATCTTGGCATGCGCTGCCTATACCGTTGGCCAGTCTCATTATCTGTACTGAACCTAGAAACTTGAAATATGCAGGTAGGTTCTTTGTATAGTGTATATGAGCATCAAGAAAGGGAACCAGGAATTTCCACCCCCCAAGGGGGAAAATAGGGGTTCGAAGACTGTATTGAATTTTGTCAGTTTTGAAGTTGGAAACCTGAAGTTTTGGGTTAAAAAGTATTGTAACAATTTGTTTAAAATGGTCTATCATGAAACATAATGTGGCAAACCAAAAACAACTAGTCTCTAATAATAACTAATTCGAATTCAATAAGCTGTTACTAATTTATTCAGGTCTTTATATATAATATCATAATAATGACAATAAATTGCCAGGTACTTACTCTTCTTTTCGTAGTTCCAATGTAGATGGATTCCGATTGAATTTCTTACACATCCAGGAAATACAAGGAGAAAATTACAACCTTATTTGACGTAAAAAAAACCTGAAATGGAATTTTGAGAAGAAGTAATCATCTCATCCGTTCATCATTTCTAGATGATAATACACTGCAACTGATCCCAGTAAAAAAAGAGTCATATATTAAATACTCGGAACATTTTATCGAAAAGATAAAAGATATGAGATTAGTTTTAAGAGACATACATAAAAATAACTAAATACTACATGTAAAGTGAAACAAAAATAAACATATAAATGAAAAATCACTAAGCTATAGGGAAATCACAATAGTGCATTAAGCCTATTACATGGTATTTTGTAAAATATAACGTTTAATATTTCGAGTAAAGTGTTCATGAACTTCTGTTGAATGTAATAGTCATATAGATATAATGGTGCTGCTTATCCTTTTTTTTTTTTTGAAAATTTTCTTGAACTGATATTGTCTATTAATAGATTTGTTAGTACAATTGGTCTTAAATAATTTTCACTCTTCTCAACTTTCAGGTTATGCAATACAAACTGGTACCAGAAAGGAGACAAACTTTAAAAGCTATGTGGTGGCAAAGACTGCAAGCAGGACAGAGGTTAGTTGAAGACTGGCAAAAAATAATACAGGTACATTCGCTGGTACTGGAACCACATGAAGATGTCCATACATGGCTGAAATATGCTGCGTTATGTAGAAAAAGTGGATCGATGGTAAGTAATTTCCTTTAATTCTGTTGACTTGTACGATGTAGAAAGACGATTGATGATTTTGGAATTTCATTTCTGTATTTTTCATCAACTTCCTCTTCTAGCGATTGTCACACAAAACATTAATGATGCTTATTGGTTATGATCCTGAAGAAACTCCCCAACTGGGTTTGCCAATGGTTTCTCCTCATGTAACATTTGCATACACTAAACACTTATGGGCAACAGATCAAAAGCATAAGGCTCTCCAACAGCTTGAATATTTTTTGAATGATTACGTACAACAACCTCTCCAGGAAAATATTGATCTTGAGGATAGACAGCGGCTATTGGCAAGGCAAGAAATATTCATGATTATAATTTTTTATGAGCGTCAATAGTTTATTCAGTTTATATTATTTTCACGAATATTACGAGAGTGAAAGTTTATATTACTTTCTTTATATAACCTCGTATTTTCAGATGCTATCTAAAATTAGGTGTTTGGCGAGAATCACTGGAAGGCGTAACAGAAAGTTCTATACAAAATGTGCTCAATTGTTACTACCAAGCCACAGAGTATGATAAAGACTGGTACAAAGCATGGCACGCCTGGGCGTACATGAATTTTGAGACTGTACTATTTTACAAAAACAAAGAAGAGACTGATAAATCAACTACAGAAAGGGCTGTAGAGGAACCTGATAAAAACATTGACTTGAATAAGCATACTGTGTTAGCAGTACAGGGTTTTTTCAAGTGAGTTTTTTAGATGATCTTATGGAACAAGTATTGCCATTAATACTTTCTTAATTTCAGATCAATATATCTATCTAAAGGTAGTTCTCTTCAAGACACTTTGCGTTTGCTAACCTTGTGGTTTGATTACGGACAGTCTATGTCAGTCTCAGAAGCAATTTCAGAGGGTATTCGTTTAGTAGAGAAAAATACTTGGCTTCAAGTAATTCCACAATTGATAGCTAGAATAGATACAAACCGCTTGTTAGTTTCCAAGCTGATCCATAGTTTACTAGTAGATATCGGTAAGACTCATCCCCAGGCTTTGGTATATCCTTTAACTGTAGCTACAAAGAGTAATTCTACTATAAGAAAAAATGCTGCAAACAAAATATTGAAAAGTATGAGTGAACATTCTCCTACTTTGGTTAGACAAGCACTCATGGCATCTGAAGAGTTAATCCGGGTCGCCATTTTGTGGCATGAGATTTGGCATGAAGGACTGGAGGAAGCATCAAGGTAAGATCTGACAAAAAAAACTTCATTCTCTTCCAGTGAAGTAGTCTATTCACTAATTTGATATATTCTTTGTATTTTGGCTATATTCGATCAAATGTACATGCAAGCTCAGACATTCTGTTTTGAGATATTCGATTCAGATTGTGTAGAACGAATTAAAGGAAATTTGTTTCTTTTTCAGATTATATTTTGGCGAAAGAAATGTTGAAGGTATGTTGAGGATTTTAGAACCTCTGCATGCCATGATGCAAAGGGGACCTGAGACATTAAAAGAAACTAGTTTTAATCAAGCATATGGCAGAGATTTGGGTGAAGCTCATGAATGGTGTCAGAGATATAGGGTGAGCAATATTGTTAAAGTCAACTCTTTTGCTGAAAAGATTTCCGTGCTTTCTCCTAACATTATTTTGTTATTATCAAAATTTTTTCACCTCTCTATTATATAATTTTCATTTTTCATTACGTCATTAATTTTGTGTTGGAACTTTTTTATGTAATACGATACCCTTCAGTCATACTCGAGAATATCAGTTACTGGTGCTCTTCTAGGCCGCTTCTTTCTTGGGGTGGAACAATTTACTTCTCCATTATTTGCAGAAATTAATTGCTCCCCTTCTTTAACCACTCTGTCAATGGTTTTTATTGAAATACATAATATAAAACAATAGTTACTTTTCAATTTTTATTTAATATTACCTATAGCAAGAGATGTTTTATTTTTCATATTCGATAACGTATCCGACTCACATTTAACACTTTGAAAATTATTGAACACTTTAAAAATTATTTCACGTGCCTAACTCTTGATGACTGGTTTTTTGTTAGGCGATGACATTTTTTCAGAAACAACACAAATTATTCAGACAATGCCAATCGTCAACAGCATTGGAGAACAAGTAATGATACGCCTATGTACAGAGCATTTGTATGTCTTGCAAGAGCTGTAGTGGGGGTATTAAAAATGAGTTTGTGCGCATGGGGGCGGGCTTGCCATCACGTTTGGCGCTTGCTGGACTCATTTTTTTCTCCACTTCTTTGTGTTTTAAATCTCTGTATTTTTTTAAACAACAGGTGATTTTTGATGATTTGGTATTTTTGTAAAGGGAGATCATAGGGAAGGAAACAACTATAGAAAATATTATCATTGTACTATTGCAGTATCTTTTGGGACGCTTAAAGGCCGTCATATTGAGGAATTTATTCCTGATGTTTTGGTAGCATTAGTAGCTAACTTCTTTATAGATGCTTCCATGTTGAAATTTCGGAGATGGAAAGTACTAGCGGAAGTATATGAAGAAATTCCACAGTACAAAGGCTTCCGAGCATGACAAAAAATACTGTTAAAGTAGACTATGGCCACAAAAGACTGACTATCTTCTATTATTATTGTGATACTTCCATGATATAAAAATATGTTTTTCCTGTCCTAGAGTAATTGAGCGTTTGGACAACCTTCTTCAGTCGATTGAAACCTAGAGGTCTCATTGTTGTCCAAGATGCAATCTGACTAATACAATTGAAACCATCTCAAATCAATGGATCTAAAACTATATTTTTCCAGTTAATGATACAATGTTATGATCCACACAGCTAAATGCGTTAACAAGATTACAAAAAAATCTGAATAAGACACCGACAGTTTTTGATAAAACCATATATTTGTTACATTATAAAAAATATTCAGAATTTCAAATTTGGGATTATGAAAGTGAATTATTTTTCAGATTTCCGGAAACATACGTGATCTGAACCAAGCATGGGACCTTTACTATCATGTCTTTAGGCGGATATCTCGTCAATTGCCTCAACTTACATCTTTGGAGTTACAATATGTATCTCCGAACTTATTGGTTTGTAAAGATTTGGAACTTGCTGTTCCAGGAAGCTATGCACCTGGTCAGAATGTTGTCAGGATCGCTTATTTCAACAGATCTCTAGAGGTGAGTTGGTTTATACAGTGTGACCCATTTTTAATGAAAACACCCCCCTAAAATTTGAAGTTGTAAACCGATTTTAATATTTTTTTTTTGAAATGTCAAGTACTGAAAGGTCTAACTTGGGACAAAATTTGAAATGNCGAGGTGGATTAGTAGAGGCTACTAGAATATGAGTTAGAATTAATTGTTGCACTGAATCGAAACATTTCAATAATTAATTAGTTACGTTTGTTAAAATTTTTTGCTTCATTGTTAGTTGAATTGTGTGAATGTAATTCCGTTATTTTCATTAAAAATATTTACGCTATTTGTTTTTTTTTCATACGGCGGCACTTTATTGTTGAAATCATAAAATAAATGATATATTGTGACTGTTAGCTGTGTGAGTTTTCGAATTTTTGAGTTGTCATAACTTTGTTAATAATGAATATTTTTTCATGAAATTTTGGTCACACCTATTTAGAAGCACTCTGAATCCAGTGGCGTAGTGACTTTTTCAATAAAAAAATCGCTAATAAAAAATCCCGATTTTCGACTAAGAAAAATATCGTAGTATGCCCTGAAACTTTAATAAACATTTCAAATTTTGTCCTAAGGTAGACCTTTCAGTACTTGACATTTAAAAAAAAATTATTAAAATCGATTTACAACTCCAAATTTTAGGGGGGTGTTTCCATTAAAAATGAGTCACACTGTAGATAGAAGGTGAAATGTACAGTTCTGTTTTTGAAGGTAATCACTTCAAAACAACGCCCAAGGAAGCTGATCGTTCGTGGCAGCAATGGAAAAGACTACATGTTCCTCTTGAAAGGCCATGAAGATCTGCGTCAAGATGAAAGAGTTATGCAGCTGTTTGGACTAGTCAATACTTTACTTCTGAAAGATCCGGATACTTTTCGACAAAATTTAACGATTCAACGTTACGCTGTCATTCCCTTGAGTACAAACTCTGGTCTGATAGGTTGGGTACCTCACTGTGATACACTACACACATTGATTAGAGATTACAGAGATAAGAAGAAGATCCTGTTGAACATTGAGCACAGGATTATGCTCCGAATGGCTGCCGATTACGATCATTTGACTGTTATGCAGAAGGTGGAGGTGTTTGAGCATGCTTTAGAACACACTCACGGTGATGATTTGGCTAGATTGCTGTGGCTGAAGAGCCCTTCGTCTGAAGTTTGGTTTGACCGTCGAACAAACTATACTAGATCTTTGGCAGTGATGTCTATTGTGGGATACATTTTGGGATTGGGTGACAGACATCCCAGTAATTTAATGTTGGACAGGCTTACAGGAAAAATCCTTCACATTGATTTTGGCGATTGCTTTGAAGTAGCTATGACTAGAGAAAAGTTCCCAGAGAAAATTCCATTTAGACTGACGAGAATGCTTATAAATGCAATGGAAGTTACTGGAATAGAGGGTACGTATCGCCGAACTTGCGAATCAGTTATGTCTGTCCTACACCGCAACAAAGATAGTTTAATGGCAGTTCTTGAGGCTTTTGTATACGATCCATTGCTCAACTGGAGGCTTATGGACACAACAATCAAAAACCGATCCAATACAAATGAAATTGGATCTTTCTCTACTGGAACGTCGCAGGAACAAGACTTGATAGAGTCAATTAGCGTAACTTTGAACAAAAAGAGCCTTCTAGCAGATATTGTTAATGACAGTTTACAGCCTGAGGGGGTTAATAAGAAGGCAATTACTATCATCAACAGAGTAAGAGATAAGTTGACTGGTAATGATTTCAATTTTGAGGAACAGCTGACAATTGAGAAGCAGGTTGATTTACTGATTCAACATGCTACTAGTAATGAAAATTTGTGTCAATGTTACATAGGTTGGTGTCCATTTTGGTAAAGATAAAATATATTAAAATATTGTTTTGTATATATGTAATTTAATAAATAATAATTTGTGTCATTTTAATTTAGGTACAGGCAAATACAACCCACGATTTTACTTTGTGGATGAATTTGTTTTAGAGCTTTTGTAGAGATTACTTGAGCTGTTTAAAAAAATAAGTTCATGTGTACTTTTATACATTAAAAGTAGAATCTTAATAAAGTTTTGAAGTACATTATTTCATCATTTCAATTCTAGAAAAATAATTCATCTTTTTGGATTTCATGTCATATATACACACCACACTCATTTGCATCCCCTCACCAGTTTTATCAGTACTATTACTATTATTAGAGATCTTTATTAATGTTATATAAAAAACACAAAAATCATCACTTATAGAAATTTTAATCATTTCAATAAAGAACATTTTTTATTACAGCTTTCCTCTGGAAGACAAAAAAAATGCCTTCATTCTCATCAATACAGATGCAATATTGATGCTTTCATAAAATCTGCTTCATATCACTGAAAAATGGTAGTAAATCCAATATGTATTTCTACCAAAAAACTATCATGTCCCATGTTCCGACGTGAAGATCAATATCAACAATGGTATTACTGAAAGCCTCGCTATTCTGAAAAATATTACCTTAAGATTCAAAAAGTATATCAATGGTCTGTTTCAACGATCATATTCTATTTTGAAAACGATATAAGGAAGTCGAAAAGTTCTATGTGAAAGCTATTCTTCATGAGACATTGGTGTCGTCATTGTTCAATTAAGGTGATTCCATTTATGGTCATTGTTTAACACGGCAATTTCAAAACAAAATTCAAAAGGTTCGAGACTTATTTTGGAATTATGTCAGAGGATATCACATAATTTACGAAACATCAGATGGTTGAATATGGCTGATAGACATCTACATAGTACAAACTCTTCCATAGGATACCCTGTGTTATCTACAAAGAAAAATTACTTTTCATTGCGACATCCACAATTTTAATTTGAGTTTCAAAGGTACTTTGACTCCTCCAGCCTTTAGAACAGAAACTTTCAAACAGTCATTCTCATTTGGAATCTCCAGAATATATCATGAAATCCCCCTGAAGATAAAGCACAATTGCATTTCACATTTGAAATGTAGGTCCCCAGTCATTCTTTTCTTTAATTTTCGTCATTGAAATATCATTTTATTCATTTAGCTATAATTTTTTTCTACACCATATCACTTGTATATACTAACTCATCATGAATCAACGAAATTAATAAATCAGATTCTTACTTTCCTTATCTACTCCACTCAGTATAGCAACACTCGAACAACAACAAGTAAACTTTATTTTATTTTTTCTCTTCTTATTCTGAAAATAAAATATACTATCTATATATTTTTGTAAAATCAGTACAGATTTTTGAAGGTTGAGTGAAAGAACAGTTTTTTTAGAGACTCGTATCTACAAAAGCTGTACATAACATTAAGTATTCAATTTATTTCAATCATTTTAAAAATGAAAATTTCTCAATTTAAAGAATAACGTCAAACATGTTGGGAAGAAAAATATTGTCTACTTTGGTAGACTGTTTTTATAGTTTCGAATCAAAGATTGGCAAATATACGAGAACTGTTTGCTGCTTACCTGGGATTTTTTAAGGGCATACAAACAACTATTACAAATAACCATTTACTTAAAACGGGTTGGTTCTAAATTGGTGCCCAACGTAGGGTCAGTGATAATGTCAAAAATAAAAAAACATACAAGGTGTTAGGAATCACACGTTGAAAGGTAAGACCTCATTAGTCCTTAGCTTGCATAAGTTTCGACTTCTGTGAATTCCTTCGAAGGGGGCGACAGTTGGTCCACGGAAAAACAGTTTTTTTTCAACAGTTACTCCAAGGTCTGTTACAAGTCTTATTTTCATCATGTACATAACATCAAATCTCAATAATAACCATAGTATCCTTAAGGATTTTTCAGTACAAGAAAAATGTACTTGCAACTTTTTTGAATATGGATAAACTCGAACTAGGATTAAGAAATATTCTCATATTTCAATGGATAATTAAAAAGCTAAAAATAATGGAAGAAGGTGTGGTGTGAAAAATAATGGAAAGTGTGGTGTGAAAAATAATGGAAAGTGTGGTATGAAAACTAAGATGACCTAATTGTTTTTTCACTCACCATAATATGATCTATTTTCAAATTTGATAGTAGTACATTTTTTTTACTATCACTTTCAGATATATTTTTGACCCGTCCATTGTTTACAAAAAATCAGGCGAACTATATTTTCTCCTACATCATTATTTTATCAGGTAGAATATACCTATGTTTAATGAGCGCAAATATATTGCTAAATCATTTTACCTTACGAACTTTTACTCTTGTGCTCGATATAGTATTTTCAGGGAAGGAAGTGACAGTTTGGAGTTTTCGAAACTTGGATCGTGCTTCAAAGATCATGAAAAATTAGAAAGTCTTAGATTCGTCTAGAGGTTATTCCTCCGAGATGATACTCCTCACAATTCCAGTTTTATATTTATGAATGCATATAATTTGTTTCTGAAAATCAACATTATTTCAGACCTATTTTGCCCCAACACTATTATGGCACCAGCACCCACCATGATTTATTTCTTCTTAAATAGAGAGTTTTTTTTTTCATGTATGAAATTTATAACCATCTACCCACCACAATGAAAGTTAATGAAACATGCATGCCAATTGAATAACCCAGTACTGATTCACTTTGTAGTTTGAAGGCTTATCATTGATGTTCTTGAAAATAATTACTGGAAATTTGCATTAGACATGTTTGTCTTCAGTTTTTTGACTAGCTTTTACTTTTTTTATGTATATAGTGGAATATAATTATTATTCTAATGGTGAGGCAGCTACTGTAGTTTTTTTTTGTACAATTTATTTGATCTGTCCATGATCAATTGAAATGACAATAAAATGAATTATAACAAATGCTTTCTTTTAGGAAATGAATTAGGTCTTACTTTTGGCTTTCACTTTCATTTCCAAAAATGTTTCATCTAACCCAACTACAGGAGAAAAATTGCACTAACTGTCTGCAATGTTCCTAAAGTTGAGAAGATTTATAACCAAAGCTCGACAGTTTACCCAACCTGGAAGAAGTTTAGTGAATGATACGTAGGATATTACGCGGGACAAAAAAACATCAGAAATAGAAGAAAATTCAGTTGGGTTCGATCATTTCAAAGTGTTATTCGTCATTTTCAAAATTTATGTGATAGATCTGCAAACATCAGTTGTCAGATTTATTGTGCCTGCGTTGCAAAGCAGCAGCCAAATCCTCTCTTAGAGCCTGCTGTTGACGGCTCTCAGTCAGCGATTGGACAGACCTCAAACTATTTACAATATCTTTAGTTTTGCTGAAGTAGATTTCATTAAGAGTGTTACGAATTTTATTTTCCATGTCCTCTACCATCCTGCCAATATTGGCAATGTGTGGGTTGATTTCATTTACTGTGGCATCTTGTTCTATCTAAAAGTAAAGTCAAAAAGTAAAGAAAATAGTTTCATTATAGTGTTGATTCGAATAAATGTTAAAATAGAAATATGTATGTGATAACGATGATTTGGAAATATAACAGTACAAGTTTAAATTTAGCGAATGAAAATTTTAAAAGATTTTTCCATCAACCAATGAAAAATATATCAACTCGTTAATAATAAATTCGATTATTGTTACAATGATGTATTCCACTAGTTTTTGCAAATTTTAAGATAAGTCTTACCTGCCTGGTTAGACTACCGCCAAGATTCATTGTTCCAGAACCCTGTTTATTAGTTTGAAGCCACAGCATGGCAGTTGAAGTCATTTTGTAATGTGAATTCCGACCCGAACTCTTTTCCTGAACTTCTACAACATGTAAAGAGTCCCAACAACCCTTGATTTTCTTACTTCCATCGCCAGTTTTCTTGATTAAAATTACTCCTTAAACAAAAGGCACATACATTAAAACATTTTCTCAAAATTATGACTTGATTTATGATGGTGCAAAGTGTTCATCAGCCTGATGACATTTCGTTAAAAAAAAAAAAACTAAGATTGATATATGACATTGAATGAATAGGTTACATTATACCCAGGTGAATTTCATATACCTATTCAGATTTCTGATCTTTCACACCATCTAGGTTTTTCTGCGACCTAAAATCGCAATATCCCAATGGAAAAGAGTAAGTTACCAGATAGTTTGAGAGCATAAAAAGAGTCTTGTGAGCCAAAACAGTTAATATTAAGGTCTGGATTGCCTGACATCATTCTCAGCAATGATGGCAACAGAGCATCGAAAAATGAAGAATTTATAAAGGAAACCGCAATTATCAATCAACATATATATATATTTCCAAACTTTCTAAAGATTGTCAATAGGACAACAAAATCCAAATTATATGGGGGTCAAATTCTAAAAGCTGAAAGAGTTCAAGTATATGAACAATGAATAAATTGAACAATATTTAGAGAAAATAACTCAATAAAGCTACTATTCAAACCACAAGTTTCTGAATGAAAAATTTAAAGCAAGCAACATATCAGAATTTTAGTTATTTTGTTTCAAGTGAACGTTTTTAATGTGTGTCAAATGTCGAACAATTTTTTTACTTTTATATATTGTTTCAAAAGCTTGTGATTTTGAAGTTTCCCATAATGTTTGATGTCTTCATATAAATGTATTATATAATAACATTCACAGTATCAATCAATATATCTATGGTAGCTCCGGAAAACTTTCAGCTGGTCCAGATGGAATTCTTTTATACATTTTTGAAAAACTATACATTTACTTAAGCAAATCTCACAATCAATTTTCAATCTTTATCTTCAGAAACCTGCCCTGAATTCTGAACGCAAGGGTTTTATAACACCAATTCACAAATCTAAAGTTAGGAAAAATATTGAAAACTGTTGTAACAAAAAAATCATGTTTGAAAAAAAAAGAACTAAACACCAAGATTCTGTTTCGAATAACCTATAGAGAATACACAAAGTCAATTCATTTTATACTGACTTCTACACCACAGCCATCATTTAATGTTTGCAGACGATCTCAAATTTTATGAGTAGTTGAAAGTATTGATGATGCAGAACTGTTAGAATTAGATCAATTTTCAATTTCAGAGTGTCGGAACTGTTCAAAGTTCCTCATCATGGTACTAGTTAAGTATGGTTTGAATGAATCAATCAATAGAATGGTACGGCTAGCAACAAGAATAGAGTAATTATTGATTTAATTGATCCATCCACGTACACTGTGGAAAAAATCAGGTGGCAACACATTAACCTACTAAGAAGAAACTAATGTTTATTATAAAATGGCATGTTCGTAAATTGATTAATAACTAGGTAATTGATATTTTGATGTGAGACTACAAAATTTCAGAGCACATTCAAACTCGGAAGATTTGTACAACCTACATGTTTAATATTTTGGCTACTTCCAGTTTTTTGTCTTCAATATTTTCAAAGACATTTTTACCACACTTCATATGCACTCTATATTTGTATGGAAACTTATTTATTCCAAACTTACCAGCAAAACCATGATCCAAATCCCAAAAGTAAACAGACGAAACTCCCCCTTCAAAGTACATCTCCCTATACTGATCAAAAGCATGATTTGCATCTAATTCAAGTTTTCTCAAACGTTCAGAAGGCATGGAACCGTCATCTAATGGAGGATAATAGGTATTAGACCATGGGGATCTGAAAGAAATTAACTTGGATTAATAGGATTTTTATAAAACCTTTGAGGTACTCCTACAGGTGCCTTGCCAGCAGGAGCCTGTTATCTTCATTGTGCCTTATTTTTTTCCAAAATCCTAGGCGCATAGCAACTAGAAGACCTAGTCGCTATGAGCCGCTGTAGAAAATTAAGGGTTGTGCCCTTGAATGACCTGGAAAGTCCAGTCTTCAAGTCACATGACAAAATGGAAAAATTAAAAATATCATAAGGGTGCGAAGAATATATAAATCCCAGAATGAATTTGAGCCAGCTTTGATTTACTTTTTATTATAGAATGTTTTTCAATACATGGTAAATATTTGTTTCAACAGCTCATGCTAGTTTTTGGAAAAAATTCAATTGACTTGAATTTTTTTATCTGCACATCAAGAATCTTGAGTCAAAATTTGACACTCTGGTCTATTTTTGTAGATATGACCTCTCAAAAGTCAAAAAATCCACTATTTTGGAAACTCTCTTTTGGTAATAAAAACGCCTGAAATGACATCTTACTTTACTTGCTACATCAATTTTTTTCATATGTAATATGTTTATTGAAATGGTTTTTGTCTTCTACAATAGAGCTAATTAAATTTATGGAAATTTGGCAACAACATTTTTCATTTCTTGACATTCAACTTTTCATAATACTGCTAACAAATCTGACAGGATTTTGTTTTTGTTTTACCATTGAACATAATTCTAATATTTCTGAATAGAAGTCGTAAGTATGTAGACGTTGAACTTCCCTAATTCCATTTACCTGTATGAGTCTCCATCTCGGTTGTAGTCGCATAGAAGGTAATCCTTTCCAGTTTCTTTGTCCTTGGCAATTTTCAAAGGCTGGTCTACTGAAGACAGCAAATCTTCACATAAACTTGGAACTAAATCGATCAAATCACTCAAATTTTTCTCTATTTGTTGGGGAGGTAGGCGTCGCATTAAATCTAAAGCACAATCGAACTGGTCACCCTGTAAAAAATATGAAAATAATTATTTCAGTAGGAGTTTTTGACATCAATTTTTAAAAATGCAATATTTCAAATCAAAAGAAAATAGTCACCCAAACCTAGTTTAACTTTCTTCCATTATTCCTAGATATAGAGAAGAATGAACATCTTAATTTGATAGAATTTGGAACCTCTAGTATAAAATGAATCTATTGAAAACAGTCTTCTCACACAGTCACTATTGCAAAAATCAGGAATTATCATTCTTGGATTGAATTCAAATAATAATAGGCATTCGAGTTTACATTTAATGATTTATGAAATTCATTTAGTTAGCTGTTTAACGGAAAAACAGATTTAGTGTTCCACTACACTTTATAGCTGCAGGCAGTTTATTATATATTTTGATACCACTGTATATGAACACATTTTTTGCCAATTGTCTCTTCCAATGACACAAAGTAATGAAGTTACTCAATCCATTCAAATTTGTCTTCCTAAGAATTTTTTTGTGTCCAATATTCTCAATTATTTATGCCAAAAAAAAATCAAGAATAACATCGACAGTATAACAAATTTTGATAAGCATTTCCAAGATTCAATTGATCGAGACAAAATGAAAAGGAGCAAATGGAACAAGAATCACCCAAATCTTCGCATTTCACTTGGAGATTGATCTATTTTTTTTGAGTGAAACTTTGTAATAATACTCTTTCATCAATTATATAGTGTAGTGTTTCACTGAGAATGTTCAGAGTAAAAAATGAAAGAGAAGAACTCATTTTTTTCTTCCTGTTTGTAACGAAATCTACACATTTTTGAAAATAGTTTTAATAGGTATATTCAATTTTTTCTTTCTTCTTTTGGAAGTTACCCACTTTCTGTATATAATCATTATAATTTAAAAGTTATGTTCTGGAATAGATATAAAAAACTTATGGTTTTTCGTTCCCTCAAGATAACTGATTTGGAAAATCCTAATCCTAGAAAAAGGTAATAGACTGATTGGGTATAATAACACATTAGAGATATACCAAGAATTTTGTGGGTAACCAGCCAAACCACACGAAATCAAAATAGGCTAGGCCAAGAAAAATACCAGGATATCGAAATAGATTAGATACATAGTACACAGATATTGGATTGGTATTAGTGGGTGTGACTAGTTTTATGAGCCACGTAAATTTTGGTATCTAATTAGAGTAACATTTAAAAATGCTATATATAAATATAAATATGAAAAAACTCACATACCATTTTTAAGTATTGTAAATGTTTTTTTTACAAAATTTTCTAATATTTACAGGATATTATCTGTTTCTGTTATCTGTAGAAAATTTTGACGTTTACTTAGTCAGAACAATGCTGCCGTGTTGCCATCAGTGTTGCCGGAATCATTTGAGAAAAGTACTCGAAGGCGAACGAAAAAAGTACTAGATCAAATAAAAAAGTACTTAAAAGATAAATCCGTCAATAATGGACATATTCAGCATATACTCACCCTTTTCTTTGCTTTGATTGCAGTTTTTTTGGCAATTTTGGATGTCAATTCAACAATGATAACAAATAAATGACTGTCAAGAGATGGACACCAAAGTGATTATAGACAGTAAAATATCATAGCATTCACTTTTATTTTACAAAAATAACCAAGAAAGAATGATATCATGTCGAAATCAACACAAATATCCTGCATATTGAAGGATAACAATTTGATATGGTCAACATGGTGAAAAAGTACTAATGGCTGTATTCTCCGGTATTAACCTTAGATCTTAAGCTCGCCAATTCGTGAATTTCATTATCATGATCATAATCAGCCTCAAGTTCGTTCAGTTGCCAAGTTTTCATGAACCTAACCTAACTTTCTATCTGGAGTAGGAACTGGCAAGTACCGCTGTTCGCTATAACCTACAATATACCATTTTACCTACAACCCACAACTTTATGAAAACAAGTTCACTAAGGACAACGGGGAAGTTATTTATTCACCATTAATGAACTTGTCTTCATAAAAATGATGCCAATATTATACCGGTTTCCTAGAAGTAATATTGTATTCTACCTAAATGTTTATTCTAAATCTATTTCTTTTACCAGATTTGATCATTTATCTAATAAGTTTTGTTATTACCTGTTATATGAAAGAAATTGTAGTATAGTTTGATGTAGCAGTAACTGATAAAGCTACCGGTAGCGAAACGCGTTTTAAATAAAATTCATTGTGAAAATTCTTCAATTATTATTTTGGATGTTATTAATTTTCATCAAGTAATAGGTGTCAGAGTATTCATAATTCATTCTCTACATTTCTGGAGAGACTCAAAAACAATTTATAGCTGAATTCATATCAGGAACTGCACATAACTTCCAATTATTTGTAACTCACCGAGTAACAGAAATAGAAGATTCGACGAATAATGAAGACTGGCGTAGAATTTTAATGAAAAAAAATGTCGCCGAAGATCTTTTGAAAAAAAATCTGTTAAAATCTGTTTTTCCGTTAACAAGCTGTCCCCCCCCCCTACGACAAATCTCAAGAGTCGAAACTTGTGCGTGCTAAGGAATAACGAAGTCTTACCTTTTTACATGTGATTCTTAGCACGAGTTGGACGGTAGAAAGTGAAAATCGATCGTCCGGCCATGCGGTTCGAACCACCGGTTCACACAGCAGTCGATTGAGTGAGTGGAGCAAACCACCCGTCTACCGATGCTACCAGATATACTAAAACAACCCTCTGAGATAAAAATCACGGTATTACAGGACTACCATTTCTGAGGGAAGATGAGGAAGAATGGAACATACAAAATGTCAATTTTGGTATTGACTTTAGTGAAATGAAAAAAAAAATCGTGGCCGTTTCTTCAATAGCAAAACTATTCGATTACGTAGGTATCAAAAATAAATCGATTTTCAATTTTGAAGAAAATCGAAGAAAATTATTCCGGATATATAGAAATAGAGTTGGTTGCTGAAGAAATGGCCGAAGCAGAAAAGCAATGGAAGGAGTGCAACCAACGGAACACTTTTTCCAGAATGAATAAATTGTCTCGAAATGAAGTAATATTTTTTGAAATCCAGTCGACTATTCAAGTTATCATTATATTTGGATGGAAAGGGAATTGCCAGGATTAGAGGTAGAACTGGATTGTTACCTGATTTAGATAGATAGTTATTCAGTTTTACTACGAGAAATTTGGTCACCACAGGCAAAATATAGTTGTGAATGAAATCCGACAAAAATAAAACATCTTATATTTGGGAGCTGCAGTAAGAAGTTATTGTAATGCATGCCAACTATGCAAAAATATACGAGCCAAACCTTTTCTTAGTGAAATGGCACCATTACCTCCGTGTAGGTGGAGAAGTTTTGTCAGACCTTTCATCCACACACGGATTATTTTGATCCAATGGAAGTTTCTATGCCTCAGTACCAGATCAGTCGGTCTCAAGTTAGCAAACCCCTTGAAAACCGACTCCACCATTATGGCTATTAGAAGGTTAACTGGAGTTACGTCATAGTTCCCATGACACTGCCATTCACACGGAGATTCAGCTGACTAAGGGATATTCCAGGAATCCCTTATCTCGACGTGCAGTTAGCATGCAGTTATCATTCTCTTTGTAGCTCTCGTAAGAGACAGTCGTCTCTAGTTTGTGAAATAAATTATTTTTAAAAAGTTATTTTCTCGTTCCAATCATTTAATTGACGCAGTCGGTAAGATTTGTGCAGCATGAAAACAAACTTTTTGCGTCGTGGAGTTTCAACCCCTTCAGCACAAATTCAACAAGAATCCTTTGAGGACTACCCAGAACGAAGCGGACAAGGAGACGACTGTCTCTTACGAGAGCTACAAACAGAATGATAATTAATATAATGTTAACTGGATGCTAACTACATGTCGAGATAAGGGATTCCTGGAATATCTCTTAGCTGAATCTCCGTGTGAATGGCCGTGTCATGGGAACTATGACCACGTAACTCTGGTAGAAGAGGATGCTCCAAAGAAATCTTTGCAATCAATTTCAATAAAGATAAACTTCTACTAGAGATATATCTTTCAAATTTGGCTGTTCTGCTGCACCCCACATGTATGGTAGTTGGGAGCGATTGGCGAAATAAGTCGAAATAGCCCTCAATCGTTCTTTTCAATTTTTCCGCAATAAAATAATGCGCCTAATTTTTCAAGTGTTCTCATAAATTAAAGTTCAACGGGAATGAATCAGGAGATCTTGCTACATGTATAAATAAATACCCGTTTAAATTCTCCTCAAAAATGACAGGCCCAATTATTAGATTGTCTGAAAAATGGACTCGGTTATTGAAGTAATCTCCAGCTTAAAAAAATCAAATAATTATTGTATTATAGTCCATATACCACATACCACTAATGGTAGTTCTAGCGAATATGCTCCCCACAGTTGTGGTCAAGCGAGTTTCATTGATCCATACAATATTAGCATAAAATTTTGGTATGCACTACTACATAAGAATTGCAGTTCTATAGCCACCTCTATTAAAATCGGTAGGGAAGTTGTGCTTGTTCTAATAGAATAGAATATGTCACATATGTCAAAACAGCTTATCGCATTTTTAATCTTGTATATGCAGCAATGTATATTGTATGCAGCAAACTGTATTGATAATCTGAGGCCCATATCAGTGATTCAGAAAAAAACATGCATATTTCCTGTTCTGTTGGAAACTCACATTTCCATAAATGGAGAATTTATGATAGTTACTAACCGTATAATATTCGGTGACCTCGTAATACTTTCTTGCGAATAATGTTTATGTATTGGCTAATTTGTTTCTTGATTACTGGATACCATTAAAAACAATATTTCTGGACAGACATCAAAAATCATGCAATATATTTCTCAATTCCCTCATAGTTTATAAGTAGTTTAATTATTTCTGTTGAGAAGTTTCTCTGGAATAGTAACTGTGAAAAGTGTTTCTTGTTTTTAGATATTTCGTCCACAAGTTTTGTTTCTACATATACATAAATCTTCCTAAAATGAATCGTGAAGGGGTGAGTAAACATTCTTCTAAACGAAAAATCACCGAACTTACGAACACTAATTAGAGGAGTATATAGCATTAATAAATCTTAGAGAAAACATATTTTTCTAGTTTAATATGTTCGATGGTTATTTTTATTTTTGTCTCCTGAAATATCGAAGGAAATTCACAAATAAATAAAAAATGAGACATAGTTACAGTTACACAGGTAACGTTTTCTAAAAACACTTCATTGTGAGATTTCACTGTTTAGTGAACATCTCACAATAAAGTGTTTTTAGAATACGTTAGTTATGGATTTTCATCAAGTATCGGCCGATTCCATCATATAGTTACAGAGGTGTTGGATATCAATTCTATGACAGATCTGTATCATTATAGCACAGGTGCCGGCATTTGTGTCGTGAATCATAGACTATAAAATGTTTCCACAAATAATTTAGCTCAAATATATTTGAAAATTGATTTGTTCGATGAATAAAAAATATCACGTTACTTGTGAATTGCAATTGAATTTTTAGGTAAACAAGTTGGGTCAAGCACTATATCTTTTCGAAAATATCGAATTGGATGTTCAACCAAGAATTGAAATAATTCAACGGATAGGAATCTAGAAAAATGCCTAAATAATTACAGGGATTTCGCCCTTCCATTGAATTATTTCATAATGCATATCTTTTGTTCCTCTGAGCATATTTCTCACTTCATAGCACAGATCTGTCATTTTTCGCAAAGGCTTGAAATATTGATATACCTATACTAATACATAGAACTGAAAAAACTACTACTCTCACACACCAGAAATATGCAACCCTGCTCTATGCGCGTTTTATTAACTAATTTGGCGTCATCAGGAACTAAACTATTCCTAACTCTAGCTATTACTTTACCTATCTACTCGTATATCTAACAGAGTATTTCACTTTTAGTTATTCATCAATGATTCCTTGAGTAAAAAACTAAATAGGATTTTTTCGTGGAAGTTCCTGCAAATAAGAAAAGTGATTCATGTGAAAGTAAATAATGGGTTTGTTGGGATAGTCCCCATATCACAGTTTGCTATTTACAAACTTTCGAAAACATCTAAAACTCTTGTGTTACTATGAAGAATACCTACTTATAGTGACACTAGAAATAAATTACAAGTAAATTATTACCAAACTGTGCTCGGTGTAAAAATTACGAGTTCATTAATAAGTACATAATCACATCCATTCTAGTTCTCTCTATATATTTATTCACCCTGATTGTGTTCTCATTTCTCTAGTAGTATTATTTAATAGTTCATTACACCAAGTTTCCACCTTATCCCTATTGTAAAATTGTACCAAAATCAGATAATGTATTATTTCAAA